GGTTTCATCCATCATTTCTTGATCTTTCTCAGACACTTCACTAGCTATTTCCTTCACTTTTTCATCCTTTGATTCTTTAGATGTCACTTCTGTCATTTCCACATCTTTTGTGGCTCCAGTTACTTCTGTAAGTTCCACTTTCATCTGTTGGAGTTGCTGTCACAGCTTTTTTTGGCCAACTTTTATCTCTTCTTTTCTGACTTCATCTCTTCTTGTCTGGCTTTCATCTCAGCCCTCATCTCTTCATATCCAGCTTTTATATCAACATATGTGAATTTGATCTCAGCCTTCATCTCTTCATATCCAGATTGATATCCACTGGCCAAACTGGTATCTTTTCATGTCTGGCTTTCAACTCTTCAAGTCCAGCTTACAAGTCTTTCTTTTACAGCTGCTAAGAAGTCCGTCAGCTTCATTTCCTCCACCATGGCATTTTCCTGTAGGCGGGTCACTGGCATTCCTGACACCAGTTGTTTCATTTCTGTATGGGTTTTTGTATTTGGAGTGATTGACGACAATACTTAAAAGTATCAAAACACAGTTTATTTGCCAGCTTCAAAAACACATTTACAGTCATAAAAAAACTATGACAGACATGCTGAAACAATCAGCAACACAGCTTTCAGGCTATCAGGCTAGAATGATGAAGACAGCTTCATGGCATAGCACTAGAGTACAGTTCCCAACTCAGTTTGGTAGTTCTTGGAACTCAGCGTACTCTCGAAACTCTCCACGCTACAACTCTGAATGCACTTGATAGCCTCAACGATACACGAACTCGCGATACACTGACAAGACACCTCGACACTAGACTCGATCAACTCGATAGACTACGAGACACTTTCAATAGACTCGCGATCAACTGCTATTCCACATACCAGCAGGGTTTATATGGCTTTTGGTTTGCGTTCGAGAACATTCTGGGCCAAACTGGTAAGAATTCATTCCAGAAGGTTCTCCATCCGTCTATGGCAGTGATTGCAAAGCTATGGCACTCGTACCACAGTCAGCACGCAGAGCCTCATCAGCCAGCATGCGACTAAAATATTACTTCCTTAATCAATAATCATAATAAAATGTTACTATGCAATTTAAATAAGTCTTTTAGTCTGTTCTTGAATGTTTCACTTACTTACTTATCGCATAATGTCACTGGCATAGTGCCTAAGCCTGGATATAAGATTTCTGTATTTTGCCATAGAAATGTTATACATATTTATTGACCCAACTTATGATGTTTTAATTGTTTGGGCCAATCATATTACTTGTTACATGGCAAAGAATACACCAAAGTTGAAGCAGCTGATGTTTGCTAAACAAATTCAAATTTATTGCAGACTGCCAGTGAGTTTAATACTTTCATTGTTAAACAGATTCCAGTTTTCAAATTAAGCATTTTGAGGTAACGTATGAATAATTCTAATTGAATATCTTAAACAGAATGTACAAATATAATGTAAAAACATGCAATTTGATAATATAGCAAAACACGAAAGCTTAGAAAGGAAACCGAGTTTATTCATATGCGCTTAGACAAAAATAAGCCCAATAAGCCGAAAAGGAGCATGTGAAATCTAAAGTTTAACAAAGAGATGTCTGAGTTAAGGGTTATTACTGTCCCCTGTTCATATTTGAATCTGCAGTCACAGATTGTTGATTCGTGAAAATCCAATTCCTTACTATTGGCTAATAATGTTACTTCTTTTTAGTATATGATCGATTTATATTTAATGCCTCATTTTTAAATTTTGTGCTTTTCTATACTCCAGGTCTTGAACCCTCTCAAATGACGCCAGCAAAAAGGCAGAATTAAACATTGATAGTGGAAGATCGTTTCAAGATTGGAGTTATTGAACACAGTAGGAAAGCATTATGCATTCTGTGTGGGGGAAGTGTTGTGTGTCGTACATCTAGTCTACTTTAACACCAAGCACAAGATTGATGAAGCTGAACGGAAGGTGTTTTATTGAAGGGAAGTTGAGGAATTATAAATTATCAGAAAGTTGGTTTTTGCAATTATCTTTCTAAAACAAACCATCTAACAACAGTCAGCTTTCAAATTTCACTGTGCCTGGCAAAACATGGTAAACCGCTCTCTGATGTGAATTTAATCAAAGAGGTTATATTGTGGGAGTAATTCTCTTTTTCGTGACTTTCCAATAAGGACAAAATTAAACATTGCATTGCTGAGATGCCACTTAGCAGAAAAATTTCTAAAGATCGAGTCTTGCGAATGGCAAGTGATATTGGTCGGCAGCTCAGCACTGACTTACAAAAGGCAGCCTGTTACTAAATGTGCTTGGATGAAAGCACAGATATAAATAACCATGCAAGGCTAGCAATAATTTTGCATTATGCTGTTGGTGATACAATGAGAGAAGAGCTGGTTAAATTGGCATTTGCGTGAAAGAATGCAAGGAGTAGATATTTGCAATGTTGTGATGGAAGCTTTTTTACATAAGACATAAGACCAGAAAAAGTATTTTCAATTACTAGTGATGGTGCACCTTGCATGTTGGGAACAACATCTGGTTTCATACAGTTCTTTGTTAAAAGAGCGAAACATCCAGTTATTCGGTTTCATTGTCTCATTCACTTAGAAGCTCTTTGTGCCAGGGACTGTTGCAGAATATTAGACGATGTTCTCAAAGATGTCACTGAGATGGTGAATTACATCATGGCTTGAGCTGTTTACTGTTGACAATTTCAAGCACTTGTTGATGAGGTTCAAGCACAGTATAACACTTTGCTTATGTACAATAATGTCTGATGGTTGACAGAGAATGGGTTTTAGAAAGATTTGTAAGCTGTTTGGATGAAATTAAGCTATTTTTGAATGAAAAAGAGTAGGATTATCCACAGCTCAGTGATAGGGTCTGGCTTAACAACGTTATGTTATAGATTTTACACAACACTTCAGTGTAATGAACAAGCAATTGCTAGATTGCTTGAGAAAAATGACAGAAAGAATGTGCGATATAAAAACATTTGAAAGAAAACTGCATGTTTTTGAAAGATATCTTGCAAGTGGGCAGCTGAAATATTTTCCAAATCTAAAGATGCATCTAGAAAATTCTACACAATTTGTGCACAATCCTTCAAGTCATGAAGAAATCTACAAGGAATTTTTTAGCATCGTAGCAGCTGCAAAGGAGAATTTTAATGATAGATTTCTGCAGTTCCAGATGGAAGCAACCATGTGTTTTCTTGCTTCTCCAGATAAATCTAAGTGTGAAGAACTTGATCTTTCTTTTTTACAATAGTTAGATCTTGAAAATCTGGAAATGGAGTTATTGAAATTGCAAGAAAGCTCTACGTGGAAAAGGAAATTTTCTGATCTGCTTGCAACACTTGAGAAGATGGAGTGTAAAGTGATACACAAGAAAGCACAAATGATAGTTATGAAAACGGAATCCTTAAAGTGTGGAATTCTCTGCCAAGTAAATTTAAATCAATGAAAACACTTGAGGGTGCTATTCTTACTTTATTTGGCTCATCTTATGCATGTGAACAGCTGTTTTCAGCTTTGAATTATGTCAAATATGACACAAGAAACAGACTACCAGATCACGTGAGTGCTGCATGTGTTGCACTCAAGATTAACAAAGTGTGAGCAAGTGTTTGACAGATTATCATAATGTATACAACAGCAAAAATCCCATTAATTATGCAAAACCTGTAATTTCCTGTAATAAATTTTTTTTGTATTATTGAAAACTCTCTTCTTATTTTTTCTCTTTTAAGTCTTAAGACAAGTGTGTGTTGTTTTGTTAAGCCAAACTCCCATTTTCAGGTTTATGTGAGTGGGTTTTGGTTGAATTTTGGACACACAGCCCCAAAAAGGTTTGACACCACTGGTCTATGGAATACTGCCAATTTTGTCGCGAAATGTTCGATTTTATGCCAAATCTGGCAACCCTGCCTCTCCTTGCGATTTTTTGGCATCCTAAATTTGCTTTGTAAGGAAGTTCTCCTACTGCAGTTGGACATTTCGTAACAATGGGACCGTGGAGTTTGTTAGCTGATGAAAGCCTTGTATTTTGTCGAACAGTAGAGAATGCAAAAATCTGCATTCCATCAAGTTGTACTTTGTAAATGATTGATAAAAATTTTGTGTTCCAATGTTGAGTTTTTGTGGCCAAGCAGTAAAGTTTCTGAACATTGGTAGTTTGGTACGGGTTCGAATCCAAGTGAATGAGCTGGCTGCTTGGTTGTTTTCATGGTTTTCGCCATGTGTATATGTGTTCGTTTCTCTTAGAAAGTCCTCCAAAGGCATCCTGGGTGTTTTCATCATGTGTAATGTGTACATGAGTTAATTTCTCTAAGAAAATCCTCCACAAAGGCATCCCTTGCCTTATGCAGTCCACTACAATTCATTTGAAAAAATGCATCAAGGTTTTTTTTTTTTTTTTTACAAAATAATTATTTCAAAGTTTACAGTTACATTTGTAACATGAAATAACAATCCATTCCAAAATGCCTTTTTAAAGCTGTTAAGTTATTTATAAGCTGTGGACTACTTTTCACACAGTATATTGATCCAAAATTCTTTTACTACCTATTTTACGAAATTTAATTATGACTACACTATTTTTTATTGAGTTGCCTTAGCTTTTCTGATTGTACCTTATCTAATGATAGCTGGACTGCTGAAGAGATCAATGACAGTATAAGTTGTGGAGTAAAATGTAAAAAAAGTTATGATAAAGTTAGACATACGTACCAAAAAAAAAAAGGACCTTAAAATTAAAAAAGAATTTAATTTTAAAATTAAGTGGGTGTTTTGTATTGCATGATACTTTTAAAGTTTTAATGCATTTAGGATTTTTCAAGAAAAATCATTAATCTGAAATTCTTTGCTATTGTATCATCAAATTAAAATGTGTAACAATACCTTTCTGGAGTAGCATAATTATTATAATTAAAGATCTGTATAAATGTACATATGTATACTGCATATCTGATATCATTGTATTAAAGTTATTATAATTCCTTTACAGACTTCCTTTCCAGGAACAAAATTCCAAAGACTGTCTTCAACTTCATCTAGGTAAAATGCTATTTAATAATGTAGAATGTCTCACATTTTGTAATGAATTATTACATAGTTTCTATATAATAGTGTAATTTTTGCATATATAAGATTTATGTATTTTAATAATCATAGTCATCTATGATTTTAGCACAAAATTTATTAATTTTCTTTACTTTTTAATTTTTGGGTTGTGTGAAATTTTATTTTAGAGTGCTTAGGTTTGTAGTTTTTAGTTTAATTTTTTAAAAATATTTAAGTTTCTCTTCCGAATAAGTTTTATTCTATTGGCTGATTGTAAAATTATACTTTTTTTCTGAGAGACTAATATTATTAAACTTTTTCTTTTCTTATGGTTAGGAGTGGAAGTGGAAAAGTGATAGTTAGCTTAATTGCAACAACTGGTTTTGGATTAACTGGAGCTATTGTGTATGGAAAATATGATCCAAAATTTAAGGAATTACTTCAAGAAAATATTCCATATGTCAGTTATATATACAAATGGTTTCCTGAAGAGGATCAAAAATCAACTAGGTATATTTTTTGTTTAAAATAATTTCTAATTAGGTTGCTTAAAAATGTGGAAATTATTAATTTTCTGCATTTATCATTTTCATTATTTAAGATGTATCAAGACTTAAAGTTATCTTGAGGCTCAATAAGCTCTGGGTCATGAAGATTTCTGTAAGGAAGAAGATTTTTATATAATATTAGCAGAATTAGAATCTTTTCTAGTAGAAAATATCATTATTTGAAAGGAATTGTGCAGTGACATATCTTCACATCTCATAGTTCCGATGTCACAATTTGAAACTTATTTTTCAAGTGATAAATGTTACAAAGGCTTATGACCTTTTCATTACAATACTAAAAATATCAAATTGTTATTGAATGAAAGGGAAGAGTTAACTAAACTCTTAGATGACAGTGGACTTTATGTGAAATCCTAGGCAGATGGTATGGTTAATTTCTTTCTAGCCCTTGTTACCAGTGGAAACAGAGTGTGAATGAAATTATAATTAGTTTAGTTTGGTTATAAATTATAATTAGTTTTTTAAAATAATTATAATTTATAACCAAAGCACCATAGAATGGTGCTTATGGTGCTTTAAAAAATTATAATTTAGTTTGCTTTTGCAGTCTGCATAAGAAAGGGTTTTCGTGATTAACTCAAAGTACTGAAATTGACTTGATGTATGTGCCGGTCTTAGATTTAAGTTTGCCAGCATACATCCAAATAGTATAAAACTACTTTGCAAGAATGGACAGGTTCATTCATCTCATTACCAGAATTTGTTTAATTTTTAGGTAATAAGTTAAAAATTATCCAAATTATGATAGCCTTGAATTATTAAAAATGAATGTAAATTTTCTTGGGTTGACTTAATTGCATTAATACCAATTTCAAACTAAATTGTTTTTAAAAATTTAAGTATGCTTTTTGTTATATATGTAAAAAAAGATTGATTTCAAAGGAGATGTGGTCCTCAGAACATTATAATTTATAATAGTAGTTTGCACTTGAAAAAGTTTGAGAAATGCTGTCCTAGGGTGCTCATGCTGAAATCTGGGATGGATATCCCGTGTGTGTTTTGCTATATTTAAGTAATCCATATGTGTAAAATTGTGGAACAAGTCATTTTTGTCTTTTAATACAATTATTTCTTCAATACAAAAGGTACTATAAGTGAAAAACGTGTTTTCATTGATTTTGAGTTAACATAATTTAACTTCTAAAACTGAATGTGTGATTGTGAAAATTTACAAATTCAGAAAACCTGTTAAACAGCTGCTGAAAGGTCTTGCAGATCATTTCCGGTTTTAAAGAGGCTTTAAATAGAGAAAATATTCATTTTATGGCATTTTTAAATTAAAAAAAAATAAGTCTCATAAAAACTACAGAAACTATTTATGTGGTCATCTGGTCCCTATCGTTATAATTATTAAAAGTTTATACATATTCTAAAAATAAAACACAAAACATATGGCACCATTGCTGCACTACAGTCAAGACCAATATAGCAAAGTGCTTCTCTCCTTTACATTACCTGCAGGATAAATCATTTACCAATTGCTTTTTTTCCACTCTCTGTCCTTCTAACAAGGAAGGTCTCAACCTTGATCTGTAAATTTTTCTGAAAAAGTATATATGAATCTACTCATCTAGAAAGGCATGATTGTAAAAAATTAGCTGCTAATATTCTACAGATAGGCAGTTAAAAACTGTAAAAAAAACAAGATTTGGTTATACAGCACTTTTTGATACGTTTGAAGATTTTTTATAATGCATCTTTGAAAATTTGGAAAGCTGATTGATGTACACAGTGAAAATATAAAATAATGAAGAGATAAAAAGTGAAAGCAAACATATTTTGACTGTCAAATTACACAAAATTTAAAGGTATAACAGAACTGATAGAAATTTTCCTTAAGAATTAGGTCAGAATACAAGAAATTCTAGATACCATTTTACTGTGGAAAAATGCATATTTTTGTCAATACAGACACTACTACTATATATAATAACAAATATGCTGAATATTAATTGTGTGTATAGCACAGGTGAAGTTCAGTTAAAAAAATGAAAGTAGTAATACTAATTGCAATTAACGGACCGAATCTTAATTACAAAAGTTTCAAGCATGCGAGGCTACTGGTGGTCAATGTGTGATCAGTAAGTGGAAAGGCTGCACATGAGTTTTAATGTTTTTCTTTGGATAATGTAAATGTAAGCAGTTTCCTGTAAAATATCCTCCCTTCATGTTAAAATGCTATAAATGTTTCACATGTTTCATTTTATTTTGAACATACAGCAAGCTATTTTCTTGTTTTTTAAGTCATTTCATATATTTCACTAGAATTTTACTGCCTTTTTCTGCTAATAATTTTGTGATGCATGTTGAGGCGTTGGTTCATTTTATTTTATTAATTTTATTATTATTGTAAATATTATTCAAAATCGTTTGTTGACAAAATAACTGCTAGTTCACTTTCAAATATACTAGCATTTTCAGAACAGTTCTTTAGCTGATGAGATGAGAATTACTTCTGTCACTTTTTTTATTGAAATACTAATTTTAGGTTTGATGTTCTCTTTTGATCAACTCAGAGTGTAATTGGAGGGTAGACCAGCATGTAAATAATTTTAAAGATGCACAAGACAATTTCTTTTTTAGATTTCACTATTTTTATTGCAGAAAATGCATATTTGCATTTAAAACATGCACAGTGAATCCTATTGCAGCGATCTTTTGTATGTCACGCTTTGAAAATTACCAGTAGTTTTTGACAGTATAATTAAGTAACAATATTGATGATAATATTTTGATCATATATTGACCAAGATTTCTGATTTCTCTGTGAAATTAAAATGTTTGCTGCATTATATAATTTTGGTAATGAATTAAATCTCAGATTCTTAATATAAGTAAGGAAGTAAGTCCCAAATTAGTAATATAAGAAAAACTTTTTAATGTACCTCTCAATTACTGATTTTATCCCCTTTCAGTATGGCTTAATTTATTATACAGTCTGACATTCTTTAATCCTTATGGCAGTGACCAAAAGTTTCTTTTTTGTTTGGCATATTTAAATTATAGAATAACAGGTACCTATGTTGAATTTCATAATCAGATCTAAAATATGTATCTTTATCTGATTCTTCTTTGAATATAAATGTCTCTTTGTTACATATGTCTTCTTTCCACAGAATGTAAGTGTTCTGTTGTGAAAATCCTTAATGAGTTTCGTATAAATTTTGAGCTTATTTTTAGATAAAAGTTAGTTTCAGGAAAATGCTTTTAGCTCAAAACAAATCATAATGATGATATATTTATATGCTGAATATTTCAGATTTCTTATAGTGTTATTTTATTATTTTGCTCATTTAATGGCAATTTGTGGAGGAGTTATTTACAAGGCAGTATACTTGTTTATTATTGATTCATAATTTAGTTTTTGAATATTTATTGATCAATATACATTTAGATGCTGTTTGTAAAGAAATTAGTTCATATGATAATCAAATAGACAAATCTGAAGGCAGCCAGTATTTGTGATCAGTATAGTTTGACAGTTTATAGAAAATAAACAGAGAGAGAGAGAGAAGCATGCCAATGCAAAACTAAAATTAGGGGGAAAAAAAGTTTTTGCTGTTTCTCAGATGAAACATATGAGGGTTTGAATCTTTCTTTGGAATACTGATTTCAGTAGACATCAACAATTCAAATCCAGATCATATTCTGAAAATGTGAAAAACCAAATTTATACCTGCTATAAAAAGGAAGTGTGGATTTGAACTCATTTACTGAGTTTGTGAATAAAAATACATGAATTGAAAATCTTTAAAATGTTAAGGTTGCTGCTGTATATGTCATGCAAAATTATAAGTTAAAAAAAGTGTAAAGCAACTGTAAAATCTAACATTAGATAAGCAATTTTGTATGAGAAAAAACTCTATCCATTGAGTAAATTCTGTCTAAGCTGAATAAATGTAGTATTAAAACATTGTGGCTATCTGACGCAAAAAAGTTTTTATCCACTCACTGGCTATAGGATTATCGGAAGGTCAGGCCATGTTCAGGAAAGAAATCAAAGACAATGAGCAAAGTGATTAGGTACCTTATAGACGTTGTGTTCAAATATCACAGTGGATAACTCTTTTTATCACTTTATCTTTCATTATGCTTTACAGTTGGCAGCTGTAGGAAACCTTGAAAGGAATAAATCATTAAAAAAAATTTAAATGAAAGGGCACCATTGAAAACCTATCAAACATTATCTGTGCTATTTGGACTCCACAGTATCATAATGATGAGTCCAAATGTGTTGAATAAAGAGAAAGCTGCAGTATTAATTTTTTGCATCAGGATAAAATTATGAGGCCAGGGGAAAGGCCAGAAACTGCTCTATTTTCATAAGATGAAATATGATATTGATATTAACCCTTTTGAGATGATGTGCCTTTATTTAAGACGATCCTAGATGGGAGTTGAAAGGAATTGTCCCACAGGATGGTGGTTTTGTGTCTTTAAGCCTAATTTTAGGGGGAAAAAAGGTGTAATTCTTAACATCATAATTTTTGGTACAATTTTAGATTATTACTTAAGCTATCATATATGTTAAAATTAGCATTTAATAATCTTTTTCCTTTACATGAAAATATGTAAAAAAAATTGCTTACTTTGAGAAATAATTTTTGAAAGTGCTATTAAAATTATTCTGATCTTATAATTGATAAAATAACATTAGTAAATTTTAAAATTAATTTTAAAAATACAAGAAAGACTACAAGTAGTAGTTTCCTAGGAACTGGAAGGCAGACACTCTGTGAGCTCGGTCTCAACAAAATGTCCATATGAGATTCACTAGAAATATCTCTAACTCTTTAGAAAATGAATCATTACTCTCATTCATGATACTTGTTGGCTCAATTACCATGTGACTATATCCTTTGTCTGATAAATAACACTTACTTGCTATAATAAACTGAAGTCAAGGCTTTCTGAAATAAAAAGCGAAGCACACAGAATATAAGCAATAAAAGCAATGCAAAGTTTAATAGAATCATATATAGTAACCCTAAAAGGCCCTATATAGTAGCAAAAAAAAAAAAAAAAAAAAAAAAAAAAAAAAAAAAAAAAGGATTTGAAAAGATATCAGAAACTCAGGTGTTTATATCACATGACAAGTTAAAGAGCTGAGCTCGGTTTGTTTACATCAGGGCTTCTTAAACTGTGGTTGCCAAAAATTTTAGCAGTTTTGATATTTCTTTAAATTAATATAATAATTTTACAATTGCCAAATATTTTAATACAATGTATCTGAAAATAAATAAAGATGAGACAATACAGACAAAGGATAAAATAAAACCATTCCGACGCATTCGTTTTATAATGGAAACTTTCATTTTCCTTGCTTTGCACGTGGCGCTGTCATTTCGTCTGTTACGTATTTAAACTTTTCACATTGTTCTATGTCTTAAAATTAGAAATTAATTACCTAAAACTGCAATAGTATATTACAGTACAAGTGAAAAAATTGACAGCTTCATTCACGCGTGTGTCGGATTTGCGAAATAATTAATGGCTCGTACAAAATTTTAAAAAATGTTATGGGGTCTTGGGGTCACGAAAAAATCTCAGTGATAAAAAGGGGTCGCAACTGAAAAAAGTTTAAGAAACCCTGGTTTACATTATGCTTTTCCTCCTTCCCTTCAACAGCTGACATCAATGTTACACAGAATGTGATCAAACTGAAGGTCAGCATCCTAAAACTATATTCATTTAAAAAATAATGGACGTTGGATGCCATCTAGAGGTCTTTAAAAAAGTTTCAGCCTAAAATGCATATATGCATCATCCATCTCTTATGTTTGCTCTCCAGTGATGTGTAGGTGGGACTCCCAGCTGTGAGGGATGTTCGTAGGGAATGCATATATGGGGTGCCCATTTGAGAAGGGTTAAAGGTAAATTACTCGGATGAATACCACTAGAAGTCAAATAAATGGATGGCTGCTTACCTTCTCCCCCCTTTTTTAGCATCTTCTATAGAGAAGTATTTGCTGCTGATCCCGTGTAATGAAAAAAGTGACTGTCATTTATTTTTTACAAGAATGGAGCCTTTCATCAATTCAGGAGCAGTCTTCATTTATTCAAGCAATGAGACATTTTCCCATTAAACAATGTACTGAAAGCATTCTGGAATCATCTCAGATAATCTTGAGTTGTCTTCAAACCTAGAACTGTTTGATGGCAGTGGAAGTAAACACGTTTTAGTGTTTTGTGTGATGTTTTGTTTTATTTCTTTCAGTTTCCCAGTTTATTTAATCAATTATGAAAAAGCATGCAAGATCTGTCTGTCTTGAAGTAGAATGTCTTCATGGAAAATAGTTAAGGAAACTGGCTCATTCAAGTTTGGCCTATTTCAATAAAAAAGAACAAATATTATTGCAGTATTCACAAAAAGGTACTTGGTCATTGACCTAAGGAATGATTTGTCATATTTGTGGGCTGTCTATCCATAGGCTTATAAATTCTGGGATCTGTTTTGCAGTAGTTTTTTATTATGTTATCATTTAGTGACATTGGGATGCTAATAATAAGGGTTACATGTTATGTTGATTGAAATTATAAAAGGTTTCTAATTCTCTAAAATTGCTGTTAAAATATTTCAAGATAATGAATTTATAAATACTTGATTAAAATCTAAATGAATTTAAAGAAAGTAAGATGCTTTCAGGTGTAAAATGTTAGCTGAAAATTAAATTCTATAATTTTTTTTAGTTTTTTAGATTTATAAATTAAAATTTTATGTTAATGGAAGCTGTAGTGAAAAATTAAAGGACTTGTATGAGAGAATATTTTAGTAACATTTGTGCCAAATTTTTGTGCAAAAGGTTTTTATGAACTGTTTTTTTTTTTTTTTTTCCAAACTCTTACACATTGCTGGTGATTGAAACATTTTTGGTATTTTTTCCATTATCTGCCCAGCACTTCCACAAAGTCAGCAGTTGTTGGTGACTACGTTTCCACCAACCTGACATGTGGAAACAGTAGCTATTTTAAAAATACGTAGGTGGGCTGAACATTACACAAAAGAGCAAAGAGGTAACAGAATTAAAAATACACAAAACATCCTTAATTAATAGTAAAAATTGCATAAAACAAACATCTATAATGAAACAGTTAAAATTTTGTAAAGCAGTAACAAATTAACTAAAAAATGCAACAAACATCCATATTAAAACACTCACCTTTCAATTTTCTCATTTGTCTCCAAAGTGACCTGCTTGAACTAAAAAAAATAAGAAATCATGAAATTGAAGAATTCTTGGCATTGCAGATCAATTTGGCACTGCTGTTCATGTATCCATCGACCTGTTTTAACTTAAAAAACAGAGAATTGCAATCCATCAAGAAGTTCATAAACTAATTTTGAATTCCAAAATTTCTGTAAACACAGTCTTTTTCATTAGCAGGCAAACTGTACAGATTCATTACGAAAAAAAAAATCCACATGTTAATCAAAGCAGGAACCACGGGTATAACCGAAATTTGAAAATGGTGTGCATCATGTGTTTTCATAGTGCACACACCATTAGTGGGTTGCCAGAAAAAATATATATTCATCATATCCTGGGTTGCTTACTTTGGAAACTTGCCCAGTGATTCTTCTGACCGTTGAGCAGGTAATGCAAAAGTGCCAAATTTTTAAAATATTCTTATCGTGTAATTAAGTATATATATATCTATAGTTCTCCTTTTTTTCCTAATTAATTACAGTCCACGTAAAGAATCTGCAGTAGGATTGAAAGATGTGGCTGTTTCAGATAGTTTGTTAAAAAAGAAACTTGATCGTGAAAAGGCAGCAGCTACTGAGGTAAGTTGTATGGCATTCAATGTTTTCTAAGAATATATAACTTAGTATCTATGCATTTATACACAGGGTTCATACAATTCTTTAAAGTCTTTAATCTCAACCAAAATTTGCAGACGGTCCTTAATTTTGCTCAGTGGACATTTCCATTCTTTTTCTATGACTGTTATTCTTAATGTGAATTAACATTTTATATGAATATAGTGTGCAGTATATGCAGCTTATAAAGGAAGGTATTGCAGAATGGCAGTGCAAACATTGGGAAAAAATCAGCTACCTAGAAAAAATATTTTGTGGTATGTGATTGGTTGTTTGCCCAGCCTTTCAAAATAGATATTATCAACAAGAATACTGTCTGTCTGTATTTTAAAAAATAATTCTTGGACTTCAGCCTTACAACCATGCTTCGACATACTATGATGAAAACAGGACCTTTAAAAAACAAAATGAACATTGAATTTCATATAAAAGTCATCGGTCCACCCACTGCTATCAATGAATTCCGAAATTCTTTAAGGATATGAACAAAAGAAATGGAAAGGGAAGAATGTTCTAGAAAAATCTGCCGTTTTTAGAACAATCTAAATTATGGAAAGGGCCACGTACTTCTATAAAGAGTTGAGCTACCCTTGTTCCAGAGCTGCTAGGAACAGTGGAGACTTAGTACGGGCATGTCAAACTCACTGTTTCAAGTGGGCTAAATAGGCATTAGTGTAGAATAGTTTGGGCCACTTGAAATGTAGTCATTTTCATACTTAATGATGTAGTGATTAAATACATAAAATCATATCTATTAGAGGGAACATAAAGAAATCTTAATAGTAGTTGCACATCTATTGTTTTCTACAAACCTGCTATATGCTTTCTGCAACCAGCTTTCGGATACCTGGAGATGCTATATGCACTAATAATTTTCAGAACAGGGGTCAGATGAACTTCTGCTAACCTAGACTGTGTTAGGGACTTGTTCTTTTTCTTAAGTGAGAAATTCTGTTCTCACATGTACATCCTACTGAACTTGGAAATCATGTATGATATAAATTTTTGGCTGGCTTTCAGAGAAACATGCAGGCAAGTGCAGTAGAACTCCAGTTATCCGAATCAGTTGGTATTGGACCCTATTTGAATAATAAAAAATTTGGATAATTGGATTTTTTCCTAAGAAAGGGTCTATGTACATTTTAATTAATTCCTGTACATACTGAATATGTATACATGTTGAAAATGGGAGGGGAAAAATTAAAGAAAAAGACATTTTAATTAAAATGAAGAGGCAATACTTCTGTGTACATGTTATGTAGCTTACTGTACAGTACTTACAAGTGCTGAAAGTCTTTACTTGCTGAACATCTCAGTCAAAGTAAGCTGTTTGATGGACACTGTGCCTGCACTTAAAATTTCTTAGCCAGCTGTTACTTGCTTTAAAGGATGAACAACCAAGTTTTTGAGCTAAGATCCTAGCTTTTTCACAAAAAATTGGACCTGAAATTCGGCTTCCTCATAGAACATTGCTGCAAAAACCACTTGAAAATGACATCTAAATTTTTGTTTGTTGTTGCATAGACTTGCTTGAATAACTCTCATCTTCATTTTCAAGCAGTGACCATGAAGTTTAAAAGTGTATGTTTGCTTCCTTTAATGTCTGAAATCATTGACTGTCCAACACTACGTTTCCGTCTTAATTTTTTCTTGGAACTATAAAAGCGATTCGGGTAATTGGAGTTGTACTGTATTTATAAAATTTGAGGATATGCATTTCACTAAATTTTTGCTATAGAGTTACACTGAAATTCTGTTAATTCAATCTGTAATTGGGCTGATGAGAAAGTCTTTTTTTAGGACACCACCTTTAAAGTCCTTTTAAACACCTAAGGTTGCATACATACATAGATATTCAGTAGAATTCCAATTTTTTTCTAGGCCTACCAGCAGTTGAGCAGTAAAATCACTGAACACTGGTAGTTCCAATATACATTCTATAACAAAATAATCGACACATCAAGAAGGAATCATCTGATTGCTTTGAAATTTCATATGCATAAATGTTTTGACCAAATATGCAAATGATTAAAATATGGTGTCTAATGAATGAATAGTGTGATCTCCAGCGCATCGAAATTGTACATCCAACAAATGTATATAAGGAGCTGTTCTTGAACTGTTGTTAAAAACTTCTATTGCATTGCGATTTAGGATACCGTTCAACAATTGAAAAAAAAAATGCCTCGTCGCAGGATTCTAGCTCATTACAAGCAATTGTCAGTATTTGAAAGAGGTCGTATCACTGGATTTGAAAGAGGCAGGTTGGGCAAATCGGAGAATCGCTCGTCATATGAGTTGAAGCGATGTGGCGATTAGAAGATGCTGGGAAGAATAGGAGAACATTGGAGGATTTCAGCGTCATGATGGTAGTGGTCAACCTAGGGTCACAACTGATCAGGACAGGGTGATTGTCAGATCAGCTGTTATAGTGCCCGAGTCATCACTATCAACCATCAGACGTGACCATGCACACAAGTTTCCACCATGACCATTCACAGATGGCTGATAGAGTGAAATCTATGTTCATACCGACCGTTATGCCACCTGTCACTCAAGCCTGCACCCTGTCAAAGCCAGATTACAGTGGTGCTTGGCTCGATCAGGTTGGAAGGATGCTGATTGGGGATGTGTAGTCTTTAGCGATGAATCCCGCTGATCCTGCTTTCACTATTGAATGCCATATAGGCCCTCAACCAAGAGTTATGGTCTGAGGTGGCACTTCCCTTGATAGCCAGACCCTTTTGGTCTTCATTAGAGGTGCACTTACAGCACAGTGATATGTCGATGACATTCTGAGACTTGTTTTGCTACTGTTCCTTTTGCAGTACCCTGGCCTTATTTCTCAGCAAGATAATGCCAGACCATATACGGCATGTGTTGCTATGAGCTGTATTACAACTTGTCAAACACTTCCTTGGCCATCCAGATCACCAGATCTTTCTTCCATTGGACATGTTTAGGATATGATGGAAAGGCGACTGCATCTACCAGGGAATGATGATGACCCTGCCCGGCAATGGGAGGAAATTTCGCTAGAAATACTGCAGGAGATTATCCGGGAGCTTTATCAGTCTATGCCATGCCGTGTGGCAGCTTGCATCCAGGCTAGAGGTGGGTCAACACCTTATTGACCTCATTTCTTTGAAACTATATAACTCTGAAATAAATCATTCAATTGTTCTGAAATTTTAATCATTTTCTATTCTGTATGTAATCTTCCTATCCACTAATTTTTGTCTCCATCAGACAACTCCTTCTTTTGTTAGATTTCTTTTGTTATAGAGTGTAGTTTCAATTCCAAGCAAGCGGGCTGACTGCATGGGCGTTTTTGTGGTTTTCCCCACGTGTAACATGTAATACAAGCCAGTTTCCCTTTGAAAGTCCTCCATAAGGACATCCAGGCAATAGCCATAGTGTACTTTGCCATAATCAACTAAACCAAACCAGTTTTTATTAACATATTAATATTCTATATTTTTCATAATTTCTCGAGAAGGGCTGCAAGAAATAGAGCAATGCGTTTGATATGCTTATCTAGAACATTCTTTTGAAGAAAAAATGACCAGTGAAATAAAAAATTTTTAAAAATTGTTGACTATCACCTAATTTTCCAATCAGACTGTTAAGTTCTAGTAAGATTTATAGACCCTCAATTAATTAGTGTCTTCACACTTTCATGAATGTATTATTATTTTTATGAAACTGCTCTAGATATTAAATCTGGCATACAAAGTTACTTTTTTTTATTAATTTTGCAATTTTTTGCAGACTTACTTTGTGACAGTTTGGAGATTAAATATCAGATTTCTATTTAAAGTGCAGAAATTCAGGTTATTGTTAAAGATCATTCTCTTTATTTGACAAACAACATTGTTCCCTTTTTGTAATATGAATTCTTTGATGTACGTTACCAAGTCTGGCTGTTTATCAATATTTTTGCAATTTTAAAACCAGCTTACCTGCAAAATTTTTGCTTGGTGATCTGTCAATTTCATGACAAATTTTTTAATAAATGTAAAGGCATTATCTGTTATTGTTAAAGTAATGATAGTGTATTTAAATTCAGTTTTTAGAGAACATATTATTAAAAGTAAATTATTTTTGTATCCGTCTTTGTGTAAAACTATTTTTACCCTTCATTTTGATGACTTTTGAATATTTTGATTTTGGAATTTAAACAAGATAATAAATGTTATGAAACAGAAATGCTTTTTAGCTAAAGCAAAAATGTTGTTGCAATTAAGTTTTAATGGTAACTGTTTTTTACCTCTGTATTTCTTTTAAAATAATCAGATATATGTTAGCTTTCTCTGTAAAATTGCTTCCTTGCTTTTTTCTAAATTGTTTTAAAAAATCTTCTGAATTTTGCTCATTAAATTCCCTGATATTTTAGTGGCTTAAAGTGCAGAAAAATCCTGTGACAAAAGAAAAAAAAAATGTATTGCTGTTATTAATGCAGAATTTACAGTTTCACAGTAAAATTATGACAGGTATCTTATAAGAGAATTTTTAAAAAAAGTAGTAAGAACTAAGTTATCTGTAATTTTTGTTGTACTTTATGGCCTCCATTATTTAAATGGCACTAAGAGCTCTCATGTTATTGGTCTGTGTCAAACTGACCACTCTACTTGGTGCTCTTCTCATATCAGACAGACTGTAAGTAATTGTGGCTAAGACTGCAGATTATTTAGCCACAGTTTGCCAAGAGCTCTGAATACTGTTGTTGCTTTAGTGCAATTTACTAACAAAAAGGCTAAATAATGGGGCCATTATGATAAGGAAATGCTGGTACTTATGTATTATTAATACAACCATGCTTGTAGAAGTGGCCAGGTTTTCGGAAAAAATTCAATTTTGTTCCTAATATTCAAATAAGAATAGACTTTTGTAGAAAAAAATTATTTGTAGAACCATAATTAAACTAAACAATCTTAATTTTCTCACGAAACAGTAATTAGGTAAAGCAATTTAATAATATAATATTTTAATTATGCATATTAAACTTCAGACTGAAATGTTAGAAGATTATGTAAAGATTTCAAATAAATCATATAATTTGCTAGTGGAATGAGTATATTTACGATACAGCAACTGATAAATGCTGGCAGATTTAAGTCATTTATGTTTATGTAGACCTCATGGCTAAGTGTTAATGAAAAATCTGCAGTCTTTTTATTCATAAATGCCTTAATGATAGTTTTCATTGTAGCATATGAAATTTGAGATATTCAGCATAGTCTTTTCCTTATGAAAAGAGAGTAAATGAGTATTTTACGAGGAGGCTAAGATAATTCTCGAGCAGTGAAAGTTATGCAATCAAAATTTTAGTCTCTTCAGAGGTTAATCTTAGTCATCAGTTGGGAGGGAGAAAACAACAAATCAGGATATACTTCCATTGTTGTGGATTTAACATTTTAAAACTATATCTTTAAAAATCAGCAGTAGAAATAAGTTGGATGAAATGCAGTTTTGACCACAAAAGCTGAAAAAAAAAGTAAAGCTTAAAAATGACTGGCTCAGATTTTTTTAAATATATCGGTATATAATAATCCTTCCATTTTCTTTAGTTTGGGGAAACTATATGAATCTTAAAGTGTTTTTTTACTTTCTTTCCTTTTTTTAAGATGGTTGAGGAAATAATGAAGAAAATTCTTCTCAAGGTTATTAAGAGAAAGATAAACAGAGTTATATAATTCTCTCAGATTTCTGAAATGCATGTAATTGTCTAAATTCTTCCAGGGCTTACTTAACCCTTTGTTGCATCATGCCCACTCTAGTAGACAAAAGTTTAAATTGTTTATTCTTCTGTAAATGTCTTAACAGATTCCATTCCTGTGGTTATTCATTCTATATTATTAGAACTTTCAACTGTTGATCATAGATGGCTATATAGCGTCACTAAGTAAAGCATTGCTATTTGGAAAATTACTTCTACTTCTGTTTCCAAGTTAGTACAATTTCTCATAGTAAACATTATATAATATTGCTTATTTTAAATGGCAGTTTGAGAAAATTATGGAGTGGGTAGATAAAGATCTACCGAAAAGAGTGAATTGAAACCCAAATGTACTGCTTATCAAGCCAAAACACCTCTGGAAATGTTTATGTTTGGCAAGGAATTTCTAGAACATTTGACATTTGAATGCAATAGGTACAGGTTACAAAATCGTAGCAAATTGAATTCAATCACAATCGACGAAATGAAGGTATTTTGAGGGATCTGTATGTACATGTCAGTTGTAGATTTACCGTTTAAAAGATGGTAATGATCACTGCAAACAAGGCAGGAAATGATTTCAAATGTAATGACCGTAAATCGTTGGGAAGAGATTTGTGTGCATGTATGTATATGCATGCTGTCCACTGTAGTGAACAAAATGTAGCAATTATTTAAAACGAAACTTGAATAAAATTAATTTTTATTATTTTTAGTAAGGTTATTTTAAGTAGAAAAAATACAAACATTTTCGTTTAACTTCTCTAGATTATTTGTATGCAACAAACTGATAAAGGTCGATTAAATATTTGTGGAGCTCCATTAAAAGATCTGTCCATGGAACTGACAACCCTTGTTTCTGTTAGATCTCTCATAGCAGGCTTATTACAACTGAAACCTAGTACCAGTCTGTTTTTTGCAGTTAAGCTTTGTAGTCTCTGGAATTTAGATCAGCTAACAGGTGTAAACTTTCTCCTGAAAAGAGAAGGAATTCAACATCTGTTAACTTACTAATTATTATTAAATGGGAAGAAATGCCATGCCAAGTAAAACTATAATAACTGCCATAGATTTCAGAAATAGCACTTTCAGTGGTGCAAGCATTGTTAAGTACAAGTTTTATTGAATTCTGCAGACAACAGAATTTTGCTATTTATTAAAAATATGCTATGGTGTGTAATAAACTGTGCTTGTAAAAAGTTGCTTGAATCCTAAAATTGATGGCAGCATAGTGTTTCTTCAATGAGGAAAAAATTCCCTTGCCTATTTTAACAATATTGCCAGATTTGAAGCAGATTATTAACAATATGTTGGCTGTGAAAGGTATTGCAGAATGTGAAAGAAGAAAATAACAGTAACTGATTGACCACTTTTATAAACTGTGAAATACTATTTCAGCCTGTCATGCTGGTTGATTATTGTGCATTTCAGATTTGCATTAAACAGAGCTTTTCTGCTAAAATTTTGTATTTCCTTGAGTGTTTTTTTATTTGTTAATAAAAAATAATGTAAGCTTTTATATTATTTTGTAGTAAATTGCCTTTTTACCCCCCAATGCATTTTGTTAGGTGAAAAGGCCTGCTGTGGAACCCCAAACCAGAAAGCCAGGAGCAGTAGCACAGACAAGTGGTTTGTACTCAAAATAAATTTGATTCAAGTAATTCTTAAATTGTTTTATGAGTGCTGCATTGTAGGATTCAATAACAGAATGAAAACTGAGTTATTGCATTGAAATTTGCAGTAATATTAAATTAAATAACAAAATTAAAACCGAGAGTCAGTATTGAACTATTTGAATTTTTTTCATTTTGTTTGCTGAACATTTTAAAAAGTTTTATTCCTGTGAGTATTATGTCTTTAACAATAAAAATTGCAACTGAATGAAACATTGTCACATCAGATGCATTGGTGGAAATGCATTAGACCTAGAGTGATCGCGTGAAACTGTTGGTGATATTGGATGCTGTACATATTGGTATTGTTATTATTACATATATTGTAGATATTGGATGTTATATGTTTTTTAAGTACATGTAAATATGGCAGAGTTGTTAAGTTTTATAGTAATGTATAACTAACAGTAATGAATCTCAGATTTAATACAGTAATGTACACCTACAGTTTTAGTATTACCTATATTATTAAACAATATTTATGAAAGTATGGGGCTTTGCCAGGTTAACTTAATCCTAAAGAGGCAATAGAACAGTGAAAATACTGTGTTATGTCTAATTTATGTTGGTTAAAGATCAATCTAAAGTAATGAATTCCATCAAAGCACTCCACAACCCATGGAATGTTTTATGCCATGCATGCTTGTTTGTGCTTATGATCAGGATTGCCACCTGAGACCGCATTGTGCATGTTGTAGCCAGTATATGCTAACTGTGTTATGATTCTTGCATGCTTGCTTCTTGTAGGCCTCTTTTTATTATGTGATAAACTGTCCATTTCTTAAAAAAGGGGGGGAGGTGAGGCTTCAGTAAACTAAGAAGTAAGGAATTGCCTATACTAAAACAACAGGTAGTGAGAACACCTGTGTATTTACTTATAAACCAAGCACCACAACTGTAAAAAAAGTTGAAACAAATAAATTTGAGAAATTAAATAGGAATCATTTCTGTTTAGTTTCCCTGATTGTGCCTGTTAAGCTCTTCGATTCAAACCATTCTGCCACATAATAAATTATGATATGTTTCTAAACATAAATCATTCTGTGCTCCAAAATCAGAAACTCTTAGATCCAAATGTAAAATTTCCAATGATATTATTGCCAAAAGTTAACTTGGATAGATCCATCAGACAAGTTAAAGGTGAGCATCAAGTCATCTGTTTGAAAAATAGATCAAAGATGACCATCTGATCGTTAAAAAAAAAGTTGTACAGCAATGCTATGGATAGAACTGTATATATTTGCAAAATGGATGATAATATTTTTGGTAAAAGAGACAATGAAATGCCATTCACTCAGACTTGAATATAACAGAGACACTTCTGAGAACTGTTGGAAAATTTTGAGTTAATTGCTGATATTTAGAAATTTAATGTATGTTAGGATTAAATAAAATAAAAATAATATATTTTCAGTTAATTTCAATTAATATTTTTTCAGTTGTTCACGTTTATGATTAAATTATTGTAACTTGTTTTGAAGTTTTATATAAGTCAACTGTGGAACTTCTATACAAAAAATTTGATGAAAATTTAGCCTTAACACAGAAGTATAAGATAATCTTTAAACACCATAGTTTAATTTTGAAGGTTAAGATGTTTCATAATTTGCTGGAAACTTTATGTTAACGATCAGTTTGGCTTCTCTTGTTTTAATACAAAATAGTATTTCTCTGCTGTTGGTATTAGTATGGTTAAGTAATAAATGAATTTTCTTTGTGTTATCAAACTAGTTTTGTCTAGTAATAATTTCATTTTGAATGAAATTTATATAACTGATACTCAAGACCACTTGTGAATGCAGCATTAATGACTGTGGTGATAGGTATAAAATATTATATATGGAAAATATTGAAAAAAATCCTATCATTTCAATATATGATGGTAAAAAAATAATTATTTATAAAATATTCTTGTAGCATTTAAAAGCATGAAGCTTTTCTTGCACTGAATAAAGGAAAGAAAAAGAACAAAACTCTTTAAACTTGGTTTCATTGCTTGTAATCCATTTCACTGTTGTAGCAAATTCTCCAAAATTAAATTTGTAGTTCATGTATGTATGTTTTTCCTGTAATGAAAACTATTATTGGGAACATGTATCAGAGCAGGCGATTAGAAGATGTGGATTGACATTTTGGAAAGATTAGTATATGTAATAGTTAAATGCCTGAGGGCAAAGAAATGCAGTCATTTATACGAATATGCTGAATTTTTTCTTTTTAAATTTCTGTGCCTGAAATGTTAATAGAAAGTAAAGGGAAGAATCTCATGTTATGCAGAAACTTTGAATCAGGTTTTTTAAACTGAAACTGTTTGAAATGCACTCCATCTCCCCCCCCCAAATCTTATGAACCTAGATAAAGGATTCTACAGTCACAGAACTTAATTACAAGGGGTGATCAAATGAAAAGGTATGAAACGACGTAAAAACGTAACAGTTAAATATTTGCATATTCCGCCATGAGAGAACTTAGCGAGACATCTCGGGATGCGATTGGAGTCTCTGACTGGAATCAGAGTATGTGCGGGCACCCGCATGTGCAGGAGAGAGCAGAGGCTCTTATCAGAAGCGGCGTCCAAATGATGCGGCAGTCCGTATGAGGACAGGATGGCGTCCGCATAGCAAAATTCGACGACTGAGGAGCAGCGAGGTGTTATCCAATTTCTGACAGCGGAAAGGTGAGAAACCGGCAGCTATTCATCGCCGGATGGTGACAGTTTGCAGAGATAAATGTGTCTCTGACAAGTCTGTCAGAAAATGGAGTGCCCGTTTTCGTGCAGGCCGTGCAGTGTGGGTTATGATCCGAGACCAGGCCAGGCAAATACTGTCATCACGAGCAATCTCATCGACAAGGTGGATGACCTAGTGAGAAGTGATTGGCGTGTTGCATTCCGAATGTTGGCGGTGAAGGTGGATGTCAGCTATGGAACCGTGTGGACAATTGTTCACGACAGTTTGCGATATCAGATGGTGTGTGCCGCTTGGGTTCCGAAGCAGCTCACCGACTAGCAAAAGGAACTGCGTTTGGGGCTAGCACTGCAACATCTGCTTCGGTATCAGGAAGACCCCGGTTTTATGGAGCGGATCGTCACAGGTGATGAGACCTGGTGCCATCACTACGAGCCAAAGTGGGACAGCATGCAGTGGAAGCATGCATCGTCATCTCCCCCTAAAAGTTTCAAAGCCGTGCCGTCAGCAGGCAAGGTGTTGCTCACCGTCTTTTTCGATGTTCAAGGTCCGCTACTTGTGGAATTCCTCGAGCAGAGAAAACCATCAACTCCGATGTGTACTGTGAGACACTCCGACGCCTACGCAGGTCCATCAAGAACAAAAGACCTGGGCTGCTCACGGAGGCTGTGGTTCTGCTCCATGATAATGTGCGTCCACATGTCTCCAGAGTTACATACATGGAACTGGCCAAGTGGGAGACATTGGACAATCCGCCCTACAGTCCGGACATGTTGCCCTGCGATTTCCATGTGTTTGGTTCCCTGAAGAAACACCTGAAAGGGAAGCGCTTCAACTCGGACGATGTACTCAAGGACGCTGTGAAGAACTGGGTCTTGTCACGGCCACAGGAATTCTGGGAACAAGGAATCCTGTGGCTTGTTCATCAGTGGGATCGTTGTGCTCAGGCCTATGGTGTATATTTTGAATAAAGTCTACATTTGTACCCACTGTGCCATTTCGTACCTTTTCATTTGATCACCCCTTGTATGTAAATACCATTTAGTTATGCATGTGAGTGATAGAAAATGCATAACCAGTGAATGTACAGAGTGGGTATAAAGCAAACAGGAGACCTGCAAAACAAATTTTATGTAAGACTGGAGGTATGTAGTTATGGTGTTATTACCAGCATTATTAAAATATCTGCAGCTGTCATTAGGGCAGTGACAAGCTCAATACCATATTTCTCTCCTACCTTTTTAACACCAGGTTCTGAAAATTTAAAAAATATTTACTTAATTTTTCCATTTTTCAGTGCATTCATAGAACAATCTGCCCCTAATTTGAAAATGGATTTGTCCATGTAGTAATTTTTTTGTCGTACTAACAAAGATAAACCCTCGCAAGTAGTTAGTTACCTGTGATGGTCATGATGAACATTTTCCCAACTTCCAGCTTAAGAACTGATCATTCTCAGTGAAGTTAGTACGAACTGACATTTAGCCTACAGTTTTACTTAGTCAGCTGCACATTCACTGTCTCTAATTATTTATGGATGATTTGAGGCCTAAGGAGTAACATAGACAGGAATAAGAGTGGGTGAAATTCAAGTTATACACAAGTAGAGATACTGTAGAATATGTAAGTGGTGACAAATATTGCAGGAGAGCATTTAGTATATGTGCGAGTCCATGTTAAGCAAAATATTCTCATGTATTGCCATCAGAAGAGATAATCTTATAATAATGTGAAATTATTCTGATTATAAATTTGCCCAGTGAATGAATTGGTTGCTTTTCAATTTTAATCACATCATTATTGTCTTCTCATTACTAATGTCAAATTTTATAATGATAGAACATGTTATTAAAAATGTTATATTCTACAAATCTATTAATTACATACAGTGTTATTCTACGACTTAAATTGTGCATGTTCTTTCATTATGGTGTACTCAATAACATTTTTTAAGTTGGCTTTCACCTTATTAGCACAGTTTTTTTTTGTTTTGTTTTATTGACTGTTGTTTGCATGTGTATTTTCTGCATTGAGGAGCATGTTCTTTTATTTTTTCTATTTTAGATGACACTAAGAAAGATAGCATTGTAAAAAAGTCTGAAATAAAACTTGAAGAGAAAGTTGAACTATCAGAAAAGGCAGAACGTTCAGATACGTGTATGTCCCTAACATTTACATTTGGTATTTTTATATTATGTTATTGGATGTGATCAAATATTTTATGTTGGTGTGGTCAAATATTTTATGTGGGTGTGGTCAAAATTTTGTTCCATGCAGGGTTGACGCTATGATTTTTGCTACACATTGCAATTGGAAGGGCTGCCAAACACTGCCGTTAGTACTTCTGTCAATTAAAAACGTTTTACTGCCTCTAAACGTCACTGACTGCTGCATCTGCATTGATTCTGGCACCAGCCCTAATTGCATGTATATGTTATGCATTACCAACGGAAGTGGCTGTCTTCTATAGCAATATGTAATTCTTTTAGTTTTACATTTGCTATTTAGAAGTATTTTGTTTTAAATTTATATATTATTTAAAATCAATTTCTATTTTTAAATAATCATTCATTTAGATATTCATTTGTTGGTGTTTATTTGATTAACTTCAATAATTTATGTTCGTTGATTATCTATATTTAATTTTATGCACATATATAAAATGAAGCTGCTTGTATTTACCCTGCTTTTCTGATTATTCCATTGGCTTATAAATTGAATGTAGTAAAGAGAACACTAAATGTAATGCATAAAACATCTTCCTTTGCCTCTGGCCAAACAGCAACCAAATAGTAAATTTGCTGAACACTGGTATTTCTACTTAGGTTCTATTCCAGGCAAATTGGTTGGGTTGGCTGCATGGGTGTATCCATGGTTTCCCCCATGTGTAATGGAAATATGAGCCAATTTCCCTTAGAAACTCTTCCACAAGGATAACTTCTTAGGCAGATAGCCCTCACTTGCTTTGCCATAATCAAATAAAACCAAACTCCCTTTGCTTAGCTGAAGATTCTGCCTTGTAATGACCATCCTTGTATTTCAGAGAAGGAGGCTAATGCAAGATTTCGTGTGTTTCATCAAAGTGAGCAAAACCACTCATTCCTCACCCATATGTAAACTGGTTCTGTATTTAATAATTATGTGTGTGATTTTCGTCATGGGACATAATTGATATTCTTCAGAAAACGTAGCTGATAGAAATTTCTCCTGGTTATGTATGTGTGTAGGTTTGATGCTAAACATTATGTTGTTATAAAGTCATGTAATAAATTATACATATTCTTAAACTTTTCTTGCTAAACCATGAAAATTCAGATTTTAAATATACATGATAAAATCAAATTTCTGTTTATTTGCCTCCATACTTTTCCATTCTTATTAATATCATGAAGATAGCTTTAGCCTACAGATAGTATCACATTCAACTGTTCACAAATAAAAAGACAGCTCTGTTTTACTTAAGTATGGAGATAAATATTGAAATCGTTAAATGATGACTTAATGAAAAATAAATCTTTGAATAATAAAATATGGAGTGTGATGACTTGTTCATGTGTAACACTTTTTATGTTGCTAAAAATTTAATGTATTAAAGAAATCTAGAGAATATTGTTTTTAGTAAAGCGTACATCTTTTATGGAATGTCAGGTGGTGAATCATACTCCCAGAAATAGCTTTTCGCCTCTTTCTCTGCATTAACATAACCTTTCATGTGTGTGAGTACAGACAGGTACACATCGTTTTATTGGTAAAAAAATTGCGAAAGCAGTAGAAAATTCCGGTACATTCCGTATTCTTTTGCTCCCACCCAATACTACACACGTTTGAATTTCTATCAAAATTTTAATAATTTACATCAGTTCATATTCATGTTTATTATGATCGGTATGCTTATATTATGAGCATATGTTATGAATATGTATAATAATATATTTGCAGTAACTGCTGAAGTATAGATAAACTTCAGGAATGGGTAAGTGTGTTTTAATACAGATTAGTTTTCAAAGGAATAATATTCGGAATAGCATAAATAATGTGAAAGTAATCTAATAGTCAAAATAATTTCTTTCTTTCTTTTTTTTGCCAATGCATTGTACAGTATGGAAGTTGGTGGTTCTCCCCTTTCTCCGCAAAATCTCGAATATTGAAACTGTTACAATTCACAGCAAAGCAAGCAACAGACTTTTTTTTTTTGTGGTCACTTTCCAATCAGGATTGAATAGGACTAAAATTTCTGCGATCTACCAACCCAAGAGAAGAATGATTCTATCCCAGAAATTTAATGTAGTCTGTTCAAAATTAGAATGAAAAATACTCCAGATTGGTAAATCTCTTTATTAATCAGTATGAGTATAGCAGCGATATCATGCAGAGTGCGACGTGTCCTGTTCAATGATAAATATGCCACATGAGCGCATGATGGTGAAAAACCGGACAAAGCAAGGGGCGTTTTCCTTTATTTAGTTATTTATTCTCCGAATACTGTTAGTTATTTATTCTCCGAATACTGCAGCTGTTGATTCTGATTGCGTAATATCACGTGCGGAAGAATTAAGGCACACGTATTGCACAATTACGTTTGCGATAGTTCACGGAGATAAAAGAGTTTCACTGTGATTGCTAAGCAGATTATTTTTCAGTTCCATTGGGCTATTTTTTTATACGATGCAATATCAAAATGTCAAAAGCATTATTTATCTGAAAAATCTAAAGAACGGCTACAATCTAACCCCCTTCCAATTTTACCAGTTCCGCTCGACTATCCAGAATTTTCAGATATTCGTAAATTTCCGAGTATGTCAGTTAGTTAAGCTTTTACTGTTAAAGGATAACTGCATGAAGAAATTTCCCCATCTTCTGATTTCAGAAAAGTTCCTTTTTGTACTTATTTTTACTTAAATTACTTTGCTTGCAATATCCGTAATCTTGCAATACAAAGAGAAAACTGTTATACAATGAAAATTTAGAAAATGTTCAGAATTTTGATTTAAGTTAAATTATTTAAATATTAATATGAGTGAAAAAATAAATTGTATTTATTTTCAGGTGCCAAGCGAATATAATAAATATGGCTTATTATTATTTATTTTCTCTATTTTGAAATGAAATTTCATCATTAAATCTTGTAATATAATTTAGTTCTGCATAGTTTTTTCCCCCTCCCATTGTAAACTAGTTCTGTAAGTTGAACTGTTATTAAAAATAAAATAATAATAATAAAAAAAATAATTGCTTTCTATGGTTGAGTAATGTGCATTTTCTCTTAATAAATACTGAATTTCTCATATTTTAAATTACAAGGCTAATTTTTCTTGTAAGATTATGCAGTTGTGTATAATGTAATTAGACAGGTGCTTATTTTTTTTTTCTTAAAATGTGCTTGAAAAGTGCTTATAGGGGCTTATTTTTTAACTAAAATGTGGCTACGAACCCTGGAATTATTCTTTCTATCTCCTTGGAATGGCTGTAGCATTTTAGTCATAGCTCTGTGTAGATAAAATGCATATTAACAAACTCCATGTTTGAGTAGCAATGCATGTCTTTTAAAATCTGCATTAGGATGGCAATTTAACATCAGTAAAAAAACTTTTACGTGCCACTCAATAACACAATGTGCCACCTGAATGTGCAATTTTGACACACATTCATTTCATTCCAAAATTTGCCAAATTCATTCTCCATTACCTACCAAATCATTATGTATAAAGTTAAACTTAGTTTGACTTAATCTAAATTTGTCTGTCATTCTCGCCTGAAGTTACTTCTGCTTCTTGTTGGAATGAAGAACATAATAGAATTTATGTTATTTAAAATCAGTAGTTTAAATCCACCTAGCACCTGACCCACTTAGTTGCATAAACTATTACTTAATATTTAACAGCAAAAAGAAAACCCACAAACCTGTGGAAAATGCTGCTGACGTCAAACACAACTGCAGAAGTGATTTTATGACCATCTGATTTTGTCAATTATTATTCATTTAAACATTTAATTGTATTAAAAACTCCTCTCATTTACATGTTGTGGTGGAGTAAACAAACCAGTAGGAGTGTACGACAGATTTTAACATAAGCAAAAAGATGTTAATTAAAATTTTGTGTACGTATACATGCCCAAAATTGAATTGCGTTATCCTACTGCGAATATGGGCATCTGAAAGTCCAAATTTCAAATTTGAAGTTTGTTTTATTATTGATTTCATATTTTGTAAAAATGTTAATGACTTTTTGATTAATAAATTCAATGATCTAAAAGCAAGCAATGGCAATACTCTATGGGGGAAGAGAAACTTTTTTATCTCCAGCATGCGGAACTGTGTATTGGAAATTTAAAAGATATGCTAATTTAAAAATTATTTTGCGAAATTGCTGTTGAACTGAATTTTATGGTTTTTAAGTGCAAAGAACGAGATATTTAATAAATAAAGGTAACAGACATAGCATAAAATCTGAAACCTTTCAGATTTTTGTCATTTATTTATTTTTTTAAAATTTTATCTTTTGTATGCTTTATATGCTTATACATGCACATTTCATCTCTTCCCCCTCCGAGCATAGTAAAACAAGTGGAGAGTCCCAATTCTTAATTTCACTTTGGCACTAAATAAAATACCTCATTATTAAAGAAACAATCATTTTAGCATAAATTTGTATGATCATTAATTTGGCTCTGTTGCGTATCTGCTTGGCATACATCTCGAACCGAAACATTCTGCATAGGTACATTGTTGATTTTACGCCAACTAATATTTTATATCCCCGACGCCAGCCTGGCCAATCATAATTTATTATAGTTTCCTTTCATCACTGCATGCTTATCAGCACATGACAACTTGAGTAATGACTCATGTAGCGATGCCTAAACAATTTTTTTATGTTAGTAATTGAATAATAAAGAGTATGGTAACCTTTTATGTGTCCATTACGCTTGATGATGATTACAGATTCAAGTTAAATGTGCTAAGAAATGTTGAGGAAAATATTAACAAAAATTTCTTTCCATATGCTAAGAATAGATTTTGTTAATGATACTTATAGACCCAAAGATTGCATTTAGTACTATTTGATTAAGAATAACTGATTTGTTATTAATATAAACCTAGAACCAGCACCAGGGCTCGTATAGCCGCATGGGCGGCAGAATTTAGGGAAGACTGAGGGAAGTGTTTGGTAGGAGAATTTAGGACCCACAGAGACTGCATCAATTAGTAAGATATCTAGCACTGGCCCTCAATAAGTATATGTGGGAATTTATTTATTCAGGGCTCTGATAAGCCTTAAGCATGTGCAAGAAATAGATATAACTATAACAGATAATTAATACAATTCAAGCTTAATTGTCTTAATGCATGATAGAAGCAAGATAAAACTAAGCGGAACAACTTGACATTAGTCGCCAATCTCATGATACAAAGCCAAATATGTATAGTGAACGATTATGATGATAGCTGTGAATTTTTAAGGTTTTCGGATATTGCAAACCAAAGGTGAAATTTTCCAGTTAACAGATTTTGTAAGGAAATGTGGAAAAGCGGCAGGGTCGAATTTACATATAAGCTACACAAGCTATAGCTTAGGCCCCCCCATAAATTAAAATATAGTATAAATAGTATTAAAATACACTGGTGTGTAAAACTTAAGCAACAGGTGTTCTTTTTTGCATAACTCCACAAGAAATCATCTGAGAGACATGAAATTCAGAATTAAGAGACAGCATTTTGTATTTAAACGATGACTAAAGCATAATTGCACTAAAAATGAATACAATGCATACAGTATGAAATCAAACGAAAATAGGCTTTATTGAACTCATAGTATCGTTATACATGATTGTCTGTACAAGAGGAAGAACAACAAGCAGGTGTTCCTTACTATGAGATATGCCGTCTCCTTACTGCAATGGTTGCCTCAAATGGTCTTTCCATACCCAGCACCAGATTGTTCAACAGATCTTGAGGTAAGAATGCCCATTCCTCAATCAGCATCTGTTTCAGTTGCTGAGTGTTCTCCGGAGGATGTAATCGTGCCACAACATCTCTCCAAATCATCCAACACATGTTCTACAGGATTTAAATCAGGGGAGCACGCTGACCAATCCATTCGAGTGATATCTTCACTTTTCAGTAACTTCTGAACAGCAGGCGTCTGATTTGGCTGTGCATTGTTATCCATAAAAACGAACTCTGCTCCAATGACACCTCGGAACAGAAACACACGAGGAAGGATCACCTCCTGACAATAGCAATCTCCGGTTACAGAATTTCTGTCAAAAAGGTGGAGCTCTGTCCGCCCGTTCAGCATAATGCCTCTCCAGACGAGATCTTCAGGATACCGTAACGGTCTCTTTCCGTGATCTTACTGAGATTAAACCGTATTCCGACCTCTCTCCAAATCAATTTGTGTTGAGAATCGCTTGTGGCACTAAAACGACTGTCATCCGTAAGGAGGATACGACTCCATTGATGAGATGCCCAGTTTTTGCGCTTCTTGCACCGCTGTAAACGATGACACCGATGGCCAACTTTCAAAGGAATGCAGCGTTCAGAACGGCAGGCAAATAAGCCACCTTTGTAAAGGTGTCTGCACACAGTAAACCGCGACACTTGTTGCCCCGTTAGTGTACACAGTTGTTGAACGATGGAGTTTGATGACTGGTTTCGGGCTCTTTTCGCCTGCAGGACAATGTATTGGTCATCCACTGCAGTTGTTTTCCTTGGGCGGCCACCCACAACCTTTCTAACAGCCATACCTATGGTTATAAAGCTTTCCAAGTGCACGAAATGACACTTTTGTTGATTCCGAACTCTTCAGCTATACTGGTCACGCTTTGCCCCTACTCCAGATTTTCGATCATTCTTCCACGTGTGAAGTCATCCAGATAATTTCTTCTAGCCATATTTCACGAAAGAACTCTTTGTACTTGCAGTGAATGTCTTTAATTGTGTCTCCATCCTTCCTTTTATGGTAGTCTCGAGTTGAGCACGACGACCGTATGCGTTTTGCATACGCTCACTTAGCCTGTGATTTTTTTTCTAGACATTTGCATATGCATGACCTTTCTACTGAATTGCATGTTCATTGTACTGTACGCAAGAACCCCTTTTCTATAATTTAATGTCTATCTGATTAAAATTTACATTTTTGCTTAAGTTTTGCACACCAGCGTATATGTAACATACTTATAAAGGGCTCCATATCTCAAATAGCTTAGGGCCTTATCAAGTCTAAATCTGGCTCTGAGTAGCAGTAATAAATGTTGATGATAATAAAAGTTGTTTTTTTATTAAGGTGATAATGCTTCTCAATGGATGGCAAAATCTGTAGTATGGTTCTAGATCCAGAAAACACCGCTACCAATAGTAAGAAAGTGACAGAGAGGTTACTGGAAACGAAAAAATTTTCGATTGACAAGTTGAAATTCTCGACACAGCAGTTACAGGACTTCAGCAATGTAACTGAACAGGAAATTATGTCCGTCTACAGAATTAAAGAAAAAGTATTAGCACAAAAAACAAAGCAATTTAACATGTTGACTGCCGTACACATTTTACATGGTTTGCCCATGTTTCCAACTTGAAATTTTTATTATGCGATGTATATTATGTTGAAATATTATCTACAGAAGATAATGTGAGTTATATAATTATGCTTAATGCATTTTTCATGGTCACTGGTGACCCCCAAGGCTCTGTAGACTTATTGTGATATAGAATTTAAATTTTTACTATTTATTATTCTTCAAACGATTGCAGTAAGAATGATACTATTTAAAAATTTATCAGTATCGATATTTACTCTAATTATGTATTTTACTATTGGTCGTGTCGCCGCTCATCGTGGCACCCATGGCGCTATAGCCAAGTCGAGTGCCGGCCACCGGTGACCCCCACGGCAGTCAACGTGTTAACCAATTTACATTGAAAGAAATGTTTAATAAAGTAAACAAATAAATATTAAGCTTTTTTTTTTTTTTGTAAATTTTGATACTCTTTAGATCGTAAATGCTTCATTATTTCATAAATCATGATTTCATATTTCTTATTTTATAATTTCTACGTGCCATCTTACTAGATTAAAACTGATGATCTAATATCCAGAAAAATCCCAAATCCGGAATCGCAGAAGTCCCGACGAGTCCGGATTTCAGACTTTGTACTGTATAATGAATGATGTCACATCACAATTTTAATTGCAGTAATTTTTTTTTTTCTGTCTGAATCTTGTAGTGGTGGGTGGTTTCTATTTAGGTAGTGCAGCAATGTTAGTTAACAAATATTTTAAACTTTAATATTGTTATTTTATCTGCATTATTCAATATTATGCATATTTATTGCTTTCCCCCTTAATATGTACTACAAACATTTTTTCCTTAGTGAAAGAAGCTGCAGTAACTGATATGTTAAAGAAACTAGAGAAAAGCTCAGAAGAAACAGTTGCTATACACATGTCTGCTGTTAAAGCTATTAAAAACTACACAAAAAAATTATATGAAGCTCTTGATATGCCTGAGGTATTTGTATAAAACTGACTTAATTTTTATTGAATATTTCATTTTTTTTAAGTGTAAAGAAATAATAAATGCTTATAAATCATTCATTTCACTGTACTAATGAATAGAAGGCATTAGTGTGCTTCATTTCATATATTCAAATTTCTTGACATCTTTTTAAGTAATGAAAGCTAAAAGCTTAAAAATTTACTTCGATTATGTGAGAGCTAAAAAGTAGTGCCAAAAATATAGAAGTGATTATTTCTCATTTTTTTTATCTGCTTTATGAAGTATTTAATATGTACATAGTTTAGAAATCTGTATAGTCTGCTCTTTAATAAAAAATGTTAGAGAAACGTTGATGCTTTTCTGAAAACAACTGCGTGCGTACCCAAAAATTAGCTTCATTTTTCAATGTATATTAAAACAGTTTTATTTTGGACACTATTAGATGTAAGTTTTTATCAATTTTTTTCTATAGTTTTAATCGTCATCTTATTTGCTTTCCAGTAACTACTCTTTTATTTATTCTTATATACTTGAAGAATGTAGTATTAGTTATGCATTAGAATAGTTCAGTTCTGTTTAAATACAAATCCAAAATTGCTTAATATTTAACAGATAATGCAAAAGCTAAATCAGTTTTTTATGCAGAGTTTTATTTTTTAATAATGCTTTTTCCTTTCCCATAGTTTAATGCTGTAAAAGCCCAACCATCTGGCATTCAACTAACCAGAAAACTTAAGTACTAGAATATTTTCAAAATTCAGGAATTTTTTTAACATAAAATTAAGCAAATAATTGATTCATAACTCTATAATAAAAACATGCGAGACTGAGCAGAGAGTGTGAATTAAATTTGCAGTGAGTTGAATTTTACCAAATCCTATTCATCATTATAAAAACTTAAGATTTTATCCTTTCACCATAAAGAGGTGAGGTGGTTTAGGCATGTGAATGTTTTATTATGCATTAAATTATATGGATCTAAACATTGTTATATGACAAAATAACAAGATTCCTGAGTAAATCCTGTTGTTGCTTTCTCTGTAGCTGTCTCTCAAAAATTGTGTTTAGTTCTGCCTTCTCTACAAACTACATATTTAGCCCAAAATGTTTATAATGTGTGCAATGTTTAGCCTGTTTACATTGTAATTTTATTGCTTTCACATACTTATTTATTTCATGTAATTTTAATATGTTGTATTTCTTTACAGGGTAAGGATGGAGATATTGTTTGGAAAGAAGCGAGTAGTGCTGGATCGGAAAAAGCTGAAGCTCTGAAATTAGCTGAAAGAAAAGCGTCTGATATAAAGTAAAATATGTGTTAATGAACTTCTCTTTACAGTGGTTTAAAAGTGCATCTTGCATGTATTGTTAAAAAGGTAAAAATGTTGTTGCTAAAAATTGCTGAATGTAAATGAATGCAGATGTAAGTTTCAGAGGATGTCCAGAGATACATAATCTAAATTAATTTAAATTTATGTAAAGTTTACTAGGATACAGACAGTAAGCCCCACAGAGGCTTCAGAATAACATTTATCTGACATTAATTTCGTCTTAGCTGGAATTTCCAAACATTCTTTAGTTTCCTCTTAAAACACAATTTGCAGATATTCTGTTCAGCTTTGTCTTCTAAACATATGTTGACAGTTTCATTACATTTGAAATAAGCTAGGTTTTTGTGCATAAACTATACATACTTGACTAATAGCATTATTTAAGCTTGTTTTTTTTTCAACCAGCACGTCATTATCAGGTTGAGACGAAGTACTGATTGCTATCAAAGTACATTGTAACTGATCTTCATCATCCAACAAAGCCAATGCTTGCTTCCTTCAAAATTTGTGTTTTTGACTGTCTGATTCCAGCTGTGCAACCAAATATAGCATCATAAGAGGATTTTTTAATACCAGAGTGAAATGTGTTTTACATGAACTATATAAATTTTAATCTGTTGTTCCAGGAAGTGAACTGTTTGTCATGCATCCATGGCGCAATGAGTAATCAATAATGACTTAGCACTTTCTTAGCAGGTATTTTCAATGTCTTTACATCATCTCTCAAACAACTTTTCATCAGGAAACAAACAACTGTTCTGTTTCACATCATACTTGCTTACTAAAGATTCAGACCTTTCCTTCATTGCATTTCCTCCCCCCTCAATCACTTGAAGAATTCATCATTCAAGTCAACTTAAGGTTTTTAAAAATTTTGTACGTTGACATTAGAAACTTAACATAATTATCAAACTTGAGAAAATAATAGATCAGCACATCATACATTGAGCATAGTTAGACACAGCAGCCAGCACATGGAAGCAGTCAACTGACTGGAGTGAACTGGCACTAACATGCAGTGGTAGCACAACACTAGACTGTCTACTAAACAGTTCCTCGTATATTCTACAAGAATTCATAAATTCAGTAGGGTGGAAGGTAAATGTGTTTCTGCTTGATGTTGCAAGGATCTGGAAGGGGAAAAAATTCAGCTACAGTAATCCCTATATGTTAAGTTCAGCAAATTATCAATAATTGCAAAAATGTTGCTTGTAATTTAAAGTAATGCCTTCTGTATTCTTAAATAAAACATAAAAGTTATGCCTTCTGTATTCTTAAATGAAACATAAAAGTTAATATCATTGCTGTTATATAATATTTTATGGCAGATTAAAAATGGTGTGCAATTTCTGACAAGTTCTGACATTACAGCATTTGGAATTTAGAACTTTAGTTAAAATCACCCTGTATATTGCAATATAGTAACTAATACCAACAAGCAGGAGGAATCATGTTCGTTATTTTACTCTTTAAACAGAGTGTAGACCATAATTCTATTAAATAACTATTTAATGTGTAGAATTATTAATTTATTACTTACTTTAATTGGTGTCATCAATTATTTCATGAAGTAAGTTGATATTCTATGAAATAACAGATTTCATACTTTAGTGCTAACAGTTACAGCCGAAAACATTACAGACAAAAACGTTGTGCAGAAACAACACAAGGCGAAAGTGTCGTGGTACAAAACATCGTGGGAGGAAAGAAAGCAAAGAGAAAATATCGCAATTCTAAAATGCGATACAAATTATTGTGGTAAAAAATAAAGCGGTTCGAAAACTTTGCAATTTAAAAATATCGTGGAAACAAATAAAGTACCTACAAATAATTGCATGACTATCGCATCGCACACATGCATTTTTCAGGTTTTAAAAGTTGTAAATGCATTTTCGCATTATGGTATTAGAGCACAAGAAGGAAAGAGACTGAAAATGTTAACGACACTTTAGGAATAAATGGAAACAAGATATAATTTTCACTAAAACAATAATAGATTAACAAACGTGAAAGAAAATAATTTGATAATTAACTGAGCAATTTTTTATAGAGCCTAACATCTTGCAGTTATTTATCTTCCTTTTTCTAAACATTTTTAGACTGTATTTTTCATAAAAATTATCAGTAAAACTTTATAAAAGATTAATTTTTTAATAACATTTGCTAATTAACTATGTAAATTTAAAGTTCTATTAAGTGTTATAAAGTTGGATTAATTTTCTACTCATTTTCAATTTTAAATGCTTGAGTTTCTTTCTTAGTTTTTCAGCTAAAATTTATTAGTTATTTCAAAAGTATGAAATATAGAAGTAAAAACATCTTTCTTTCCTACTTGTGCTCCCAACACATTATTTGAAAATGAACTTACAACTTTTAAAAACTAAAAAACGCATATGTACGATGTTATCATGCGATGATTTGTAGGTACTTTATTTTTTAGCATGATATTTTTAAACTGTGAAGTTTTTGAACTGCTTTATTTTCTTTCACGATGTTTTCTCTTTGCTTTCGTTTCTCCCACGATAATTTGTACCACTACATTTTCACCTTGCATTGTTTTCATCCGCGATGCTTTCGGCGGACACCTTGGTAAGATATATATTAATAAACATAACTTTAGATCAGTGTTCTAAAAAATTTTCCATGATTTTTATGCATGAAAATTAGTAATTTATTACTGTACTTATGACTTCTTGGTACAGAAGGTGTGTAATTTATTTTTCTTTGCATTACTTCTTGGTACAAAAGATGTAATTTGATACTCGCATTAAAAGAGCTGAATAGGATTTATCTTGTTTATGACTTGATATATGGCACATCAGAATTATATTATTAAATTAATTAAATGTACAATAGAAATAACCAGTAGATAATAAATAGACTATTATACAGCAAATTTGTACTTGAAATCTGTATACAGCTGCAGAACTGACAGTTCTTATGGTAAAACTGGGAGACTAATCTTTGGTTAAATCTTTAAATCTCTTATTTTTTCTCTGATTATAAATCATCTCTGCTAAATGTAAACCGAGGAAAAATGATGACTAGATTTCAAAGGAGGAGGAAATGCTATGAAGAAAATCTTAATGGCAAATTCTTAAAAAAACTAAACAATGTTATCTAAATGAGGCTTAAATTATACAGATTTCATTACAGAGATGTGTAGAACATTTTATGAAAACTTAATGTTTAATATTTGTATTTGATTTAAATTTGTAAATGATACATTATTGATTCTACCTGCAAGATTATAAACACAGTAATTATTAATTCTATTATCATTGTGTTTAAACGCATTTTATTATATATAATTTTTAACCCTACTCAAGATTTCATCGTATGAAATAAAAAAAATGAAAAGCACAGATTAATATTTAATTCACTATTCTAAATTTTAAGTTAACCCTCCGAGCACTACGGGTTTAGCCCTGAAATTTCAAAGTTCCTCAAAATGTCATGAATAAATAGTCTTTTCTTGACTATAAATAAAAAAGTGACCCTCCCTTTGTGCTTTGATTCCTTTTCTTCCATTGTACATCCAGCCCAAAATCAGATGCATGAAAATCTGGCAAAAATTTTCATATGTAATGATTATGAAAGCCACTGTTCTATACAGAACTTTCTGTCCATAATACTGTGAGAGCTAATATACTTTACTCTGAAAGATGATTAAATCAAGTCATCAGTTTAACCCGTGAGCTCACATGACCTTTCTCAAAGCATGGCTATTTTTCCCAAGTTGTTGAGGTCCAGTGTAGTTGTGTCCAAGGTCACCCTCTTCTTGCTTCTGTTTGCCGGAGATATAATCTGAAGTTTTGTTTTTGATCAGATCGGGCCTTTTAGACCCAGTACTCCTATTCGCATTGCTGTTATATAGTTGATTTATGATAGAATAATATCATAAGCAGCAAATATGATACATAATTTATTGTTCAAGGAAGAAATGTTGCAAAAATTATTAGAAGCTATATAAACTCATAAAGAATCTATTGAAGATAGTGAGGATGGAAGTGATCAAGAATTTTTACTTTGCATACTGATTCAGAAACACAGATGCTGAAAATTAGAACAACATAAATTGCTTTATTGGAAAAAAAGTATCAGAAAGGGAAAAAAAGAAGATGCCAACGAAACAGCACAGGAAAACAAAAATGTGCTTTGCCTAATGTGAAAAATATTTGTTTGGAACACGACAACTCTTTGTTCAATTTGTTGCTAACATTTGTTATTGATTCCCCCCCACCCCGTATCTAATAAAGAAAATGAAGAATCAGTGCAGAGTAAAGTGTTTTTTTCCTGTGCTAATATGTAATAAATTTTTATTTTCCTTTAAGAAATTTTATTTCATAAAAACATTTGGAGAAATAAAAAAATTTGATGCACATACTTTTTAAGTTTGATCATAAAATTTGTTATTGACATATACATAACCTTTTTTGAAAATTTACAATTTTTTCTTAAAAAGAACAAGAGCTGGGTCTTTTGGACCTAGTGCACTTACTCATATAACTCAAATGAGTGCATGTGCTGCTGGGTTAAGTCTTTTTAAAATTGTATTACCTTATGGTGTAAAAGCGTGTTGTTTCTCCAACATGTGTTTTAAGTCGACAGTTATGTATCTGTCAATTCTCTACTTACAAAATTCTGTGACACTGAAGATGAGGAGTGGATCTTTAACCTTTTCCACACACTACTCTTTAAAGTTGGAATTTTACCAAAAAAAATTTGTAGGCAGTCTATTTAGGCCTAGGAGAGTATGCAGGTATAATTTTACAAAGATTGCAAAAACCGTTTCCATGTTGTGGGTGTGTCCGAAGTGAACACACTGAGCCGCACGAGCTGCGATAGGTGAGCATTGCTGTGAAGCACGTATTACAGTAAAATACTTTGTCTATGATTTAAATACAGTAGAATCTGATCTCTGTAGCAGATTTAGCATAACCCAGGGTGCACCACGGGGAGGCCTGCTATTCTACCCCCCGAAAACAAACCAGGGAAAAAAGGAAACTCATTGCATCAGCAATGCTGAGGCCTCGCCGAGCCATTTACACAATTTTAAAATTTATAAGAAAAATAATTAAAATACTATAATATTTACATTTAATTATTGACTAGAAAAAATAATTATTAAGTATACATACACAAAAAAGTCTACAGAAATCAAAACTAAGCAAAGTACGCACGATGAAAGCAAGAGAAAAAAAGGGTCTGCTCTCGCTGAAAATCAAATAGCTAAGTGAAAACAAAGCACCAGGGTCTTCAAAACCCCAAACAGAAAAGAATAAAAACAAATATAAATAAATCTGTGCTCTCAGCACTCTGTTTGAAGCACGACACCAGATTCTGTGACTCACTCACCCACGTGACAAGGCGCTACCAGTACAGTGTGTTTCAGTCCGAACACACCATACACTGAAGGCACTGTATATTTCAAAGATAAAAATTAAAAGTGATACAGAATAGGCAGATTAGCATATGAAAACAACAAAATTATATAAAGATTTTTTTCATTGATATTCTTTATATTTAAAAAAAAAATCTGAAATATTTTGAAAAATCAGTGTCTTTAAAAACAGAACATATCTCAACGTTAATGATTTGCTTTTGTGGTATTGCCATCTATTATTCATAAAAGAGATTAAAAGTAACCATTAATGTAGTTTTCGTGATATTTGTCAATTATTTTCAATGTCTAAAAAGGGAATATTTTTGATGTGTTCACACCGAACACACTGCACCAGAAAGAGTTAAGCATAGTGAGCTCACTGTCTTGCCTGCAACTTCTGATCTGGCTGTCTGAAATTTTCATTTTCATAAGTACTATTTGGCCCTTTTTGTCTCTTTTTTTGATGAGATTTCGTAATGGAAAATGAAAATTACTTAACCTATTTTTAAAACGAAAACGGAATATTTCCCCAAGTGACCTCTTAACAGTGCTTGTAAAGCAGTATTAGTGTTATCCTAGAAAAAAGGATTTCCTACTTTTTGTTCTGTTGAAGTAATGGAATTTCTGTCATTTTAACAAAATGGATATGTTTACTTATTTATGTGAACTCCTTAGTTCATTCAGTATAAATTACTCAAGTTGTGTTACTATAATATTTACATTTAATTATTGACTAGAAAAAATAATTATTAAGTATACATACACAAAAAAGTCTACAGAAATCAAAACTAAGCAAAGTACGCACGATGAAAGCAAGAGAAAAAAAGGGTCTGCTCTCGCTGAAAATCAAATAGCTAAGTGAAAACAAAGCACCAGGGTCTTCAAAACCCCAAACAGAAAAGAATAAAAACAAATATAAATAAATCTGTGCTCTCAGCACTCTGTTTGAAGCACGACACCAGATTCTGTGACTCACTCCCACGTGACAGGCGCTACCAGTACAGTGTGTTCAGTCCGAACACACCATACGCAATATTTCAAAGATAAAAATTAAAAGTGATACAGAATAGGCAGATTAGCATATGAACAACAAAATTATATAAAGATTTTTTTTCATTGATATTCTTTATATTTAAAAAAAAAAATCTGAAATATTTTGAAAAATCAGTGTCTTTAAAAACAGAACATATCTCAACGTTAATGATTTGCTTTTGTGGTATTGCCATCTATTATTCATAAAAGAGATTAAAAGTAACCATTAATGTAGTTTTCGTGATATTTGTCAATTATTTTCAATGTCTAAAAAGGGAATATTTTTGATGTGTTCACACCGAACACACTGCACCAGAAAGAGTTAAGCATAGTGAGCTCACTGTCTTGCCTGCAACTTCTGATCTGGCTGTCTGAAATTTTCATTTTCATAAGTACTATTTGGCCCTTTTTGTCTCTTTTTTTGATGAGATTTCGTAATGGAAAATGAAAATTACTTAACCTATTTTTAAAACGGAATATTTCCCCAAGTGACCTCTTAACAGTGCTTGTAAAGCAGTATTAGTGTTATCCTAGAAAAAAGGATTTCCTACTTTTTGTTCTGTTGAAGTAATGGAATTTCTGTCATTTTAACAAAATGGATATGTTTACTTATTTATGTGAACTCCTTAGTTCATTCAGTATAAATTACTCAAGTTGTGTTACTATCACTGTGCTTTATCAGCATATCATTTTTGTCATCATAGCCATTTTTTGGTAGATGGATTCAATAGTTGTTAGAAAATTAGATTTTTTAAAAAGTGTATTGTATTGTTTGCTTGTAGCTTCTTCTTATAGACAAAATTCCTTGGTTAATATATACAAATAAAGTAGTCAACTACAGCAGGAAATTCCAGAAAAGGTAAAATATATATATATATATATATAACACAGATATAAGTACTATTTCACTCTAGAATACAGGGTTGTCCGAAAGCTAGTAAATAGCTTTAAAAAAAATACAGTTTTATGAAATAGAAATGCATTGTTTGGAGTAATTGCATGAAATTACAGGTTTTTAAAGAACTTTATAAAAGTATTGTTGCTATGATTATTCTTGATGGCATTGTACCAGAGAGGATGTCGCAAAATTGTCAGATATAAAAGGAATTGCTGGGACAAATGCAGTTGTCAGTATGTTGTTATGATCTAAGAAGGCAAATTTGGGGAAATTTTTACCTCGGTAAAGAAACTGCAACTGTAGCTAAAAAATGTTTTCCATACATCAAGGATATCAAATATGGTAAACAGCCCGTGACTGTTGCAAGATTGAAGGTAATGAGAAACTTTAAGTACCTGTTCTTTAAAAGATCTTAGATTGATGATTGCAGTTGTGGAAAGATTGGACACTGTGATGACATAATCAGCATGTGGAGGAACAAGCTGTGGTAGTTCCAGTTGAATTGACATAATTGGGACTGTCTGCAGAGCACTAAAATCAGGAATTTTACTGATAATCTGTAAAAAACGGAACATTATCATGAACTCAATTTTCTCTATTTAAAAGTTAATTCTGCTGTACATTCATTTACAAATGAAGAGCTGTCTGCCTGTCAACCTCTCTTTTGTGGTAGAAACATTTCATTCTGAATGTTCAAGCAGGCTAAGTTTTAATTTAGAAGGTTCTAGGTTACTGAATTAGCTTTTGTTAGACTTTAAGAAATGTAATTATATAGATCAAAATACTATAGTTCTAAAAATATACATATACATATAATTTTTAAAACATGTTTAAAAATCCATCATCTTCTCTCTCACTTTTTAGTGTGTGAAAGTTTTATAAGTATGTAAAATGAGACCCAGTTTGTTTACTAATTTAGATTTACCTGCAGGTGTCGAAAAGGAATTGTTGATTTGTATGCTGAAAATTCATGTTATTTATGTATTTCTCACAAGCTAGAAGTTAGTATTTACTTAGATTTTATTGCAAGAGTTTTTCAGAATTTCTAATACTTAAATTTATATACTGTATTGTTTTTTAGAGCTATCATCGAGAAACTTCAAGTTAATCTGAAATATATAGCTGAAAAAGATGCTAAAAACCCACTTCTGAAGACTAGTGAAGAGCTGATTTCTGAAGTCAAAAAGCGAATTCAAAATGCTGAGGCAAAAGTAATTTTTTAGATTTCACTTATTAGAAAGGTGTGTTTTTAATGATTGCAAAATTATTTTTTTATGTGGATCAGGGGTTGCCAGTTGGATCAGTATTGACCCCTGGAAGTCAATGACATTTTTTAAAGGGAGTCTTTGATGATCAAGTGGTTGATTGGCGGCAGACAGCCAGCCAAGTATGCACTGGCAGGTGATTGGCATAATTATGAACCCATTGATTACAAAAATATAATTAATTGTTTAGAAAACTGTTATGCAATGAAGAAAAAATTGATATAAAATAAGTATAAGGTAATAAAATATACTAAAATTATTAATTTTATTTTTTAAAATACGAAAATGTTTTATGCTTTAAGTACAGCGTTAAACAGGAAAAACACAGGAACACAAGAAAACTCAACCAGAAAAAAATGCAAAGAGTGCAAGCTATCTTCTAAAGATATTTTATTATATACAAGCCATTTGCAAATTTTAAAAGTAGTGTTTAATGTTCACTTTCAAGGCACTGAAAATCTTAATATGCTAGCATGGCTCATAGAAGCACTGAACTGCAATATGTCTGTTAAACTGAAGGAAGATGTTAAGCATTAAGTGTTATTCAAAACATATAGCTATGCTAAGGTTTTTAATTGAAAATTTATCTGAAAGAATATCCCAAGTTAAAATTTGTTACCAAACCAACATTACTGACTGTTCACTTCTCCGAGTAGAAGCAAGCTTTAGTCAAATCATTAATTAGCTGTTGACAACAAGAAAAAATGTTGAAAATTTTTTTAACAATGTGATTTAAGATACAATGTAATTTAAAGTTAAGTATTCTCTTGCCAAATATTAAAAAAACTGCATTAATGTATCAAGCACATTACATTAATTAAAATCGAAATTTTGTGCCATTACAATGTGATTTTTTTCTGAAAATGTGTTTATAGTTGTAAATTTAAAATAATAATACAAAAATAGTAAAATATAAAAAACAGAAATCATAAAAAATCTGTGCTCAAATTCTTAGTCTACTTGTTATCATTATTTTTATGCAATTATTTACATTATGATTATGTTACATGCTGTATATCGTAGAGAAAAGGGTAAGGGGGTCTGAAGAAGACTATTCCTTTTAAAGGGGCTAATGCAGGAAAAGGGTTAGAATCCTTGGTGTAGATCTTCATTTTGTGTAATGTTTATTCATTTTTCTGTAAGGTAGGAGATGGCCAATTTCTGAAATAATTTATAAATAGCTGCTCAGTTTGAATTTGTTCAGTCATGAAATAAATGTTTGAAATATCCAACCTACTTTATATGCAAGATATATGTATGAGATTTTGTGTGTTACATTATGTATGTTTTTGATTATGCTTCTGACACAGCATGTCTAAGCAAATGTTTTCTGTTTTTTAAGCAGTTTCATACTTAACAAAAGTGTGTAAAAATGTGCCACAATATATGTAAATTTTAAAGTAGCATGTCAGTTCACTTTGAAAAACATCAAACTAAAAGATTTTTCTGGAGTCTACTGTATGCCCCCACAGTGGGTTTTAGTTTTAGTAAAAATACAGTAATCTGAGGTGTTTATTTATTTCAAGAGTTAAATAAAATATTAAAAGTATTTAATTTCATGAGCATGGATATCAGTTGCATAAGAGTATTTTCTTTTATTTCTGCATCTTAGGCTCACACAAACAGAACCTTCCTCTCCCCCTCCAAAAGGTTTTTACCCTATTCCCTGTAGTGATAATTTTTTAGCTATAAGGTATTAAATTTGTACTCTATTTTCAAGTTAAATTAATAATTTAGAGATTTCTATTAATTAAATTCTTTCTCTTTACACTTGGTGCAAAGCTAACCTGAGAATGAATGTTCGAAAACTGAAGTGGTATATTACGCTTGGATTCAATGTGCTTTGTTCTGACCATTATTTTAGAAACTGATGTAGCATATTAAGATATTTCTTACCGTTTCTACTAATTGTAAAATGTAAATTCTAAAATTGTAAATGTACATGGTGTGTATTGGCCTTTTTCTACTGTTTCATGGTCCCTCTTTCTGCTTTCTGATATGAGCATCTGTAACCTAGTGTTTTCATTTTCTGTGTCATATTATGTTAAGCTACCACTCTATTAATCATCCATGCACCTTGGAAAACTCCATTTCTGAAATGCTCTTCATTTATTTTCCAAATTATTACATTGCTTACAGCAGACTGAGTTGTTTAAAAGCTATATTATTATTGCAGTACAGGAAAATTCCAGTAATATGTACACTTTGAGACAAAATTTTATGAAAATTAAAGAATTTTGTGCACTGTAATTATTATCTCTATGTTTTATTTCTTTTTTTAATTTTTACATTAAAATTTAATTATGTGCACTTAAATTACCATTGAAAACATAGTCATGATCTAAGAATTATTAAATCTCTAAGTAGCTATTACAAAACTGTCACATTTTTAAATGCAACTATAAAGCAAGTCAGTAAAAGAGCAAATTGATTCAGAGAGAAAAAAGGAATAAATGGTAGGGAAAGTTTTTGGAGGAAAGAGCCCTTTTGTAAAAATGTGTTGAAGTATTTCATATAAAATGTATGAATTGATCAATGAAATTACTTTCAAAGAAATTCTTATGCTCTTGAATGAAAGAGAGAGGTGTGGAATTCTCTCTTTATGAATACTCTAATCAGATTTTCCCCAGTTTTAGTACCTATGCTAATTTTTCCATTATATTTAACATGTACAGTTGAATTTAAAATACTGTTAGCAATTAACAAAATGTGCTAGAATGAAATTTTGGATTTAAAATTAATAGAAAATTTCTCTGATCTTTATCCTTCTTTTATCATGTTTTCAATTTTTCACACCAGAAGCAATCTCTACAACTGCTGTAGTAAAAGTAATATAATCTGGCATTCAGTAATGCAGCAGAACTGATAATCTGACATTTCTGCCATATGGTGACAGTACTAGCATTTCATTTTGTGGCAATATTCACCAAAGATCTGTGTTTGCTTTGTGCCATTTTGTTATACAGTTGGTATTGTATTCAGTTAGTTCTTTGTTTAAAAGTTAGCATTTATATATCATTTGCTCTCATTATCTTTGTTTATTAAAGCTGTTTTCAAAACCTGATAAAATTACCAATATGATAGTGAAGGAAAAACATGTAACTTTAACTATTCACCTTTAAGCTAATTATTTTACACCAGCTGTTAAAATAATTTTTAACCTTTATACAACTTATAGACAGTGATTTATTTAAAACTTTAAAGAATTTGTTTTTACAAAATTCCTTCTAATTGTAGCTTTCAAATTGTTAAAAAATGATGCAAATTCTGTCTTAAGAAATTTGAACTGTGTTTTATCTCATGAAAATTTTTACAATCAAAATTACTTAGAAGAGGAACAGAACTACTTTTATACAAAACTGTAATGAAACCTATAATACTTACATATGACTGTGAAACCTGGACCTTTAAGGTACAGGGATTCTAGCTGTTTTTGAAAAGGAAGTCATAAGAAAAATCTTGGATTCTGTAAGCATTCGTGATTGGTTGTGATGTAGATATAAGAATGAACTATTTAAACTGTATAAATTGAGTGATGTTGTTAAATATAATAACATAAAATTTGCAAGTCACGTATGCTCAATAAATTATTCTTCATTAATAGTTAAAAATTGAAAATGTAAATCAGTTGGAAAACAAATGAGAGAGGCTCAATCTTCAACTTACTGCACTGTATTAATAATAACTTTATTAAAATTATCAGCTGTAAAACTCTGTTCAGGTGGAGACAGCCAAACAGATAAAATTTTTACATCCATTAAGTGCAGAAAATCAAAATTAATTTACAAAGACAGAAAAATGTCTATAAACTCTGCCCAGATTGCGATAGTAAAACAGATAAATTCTTTATATACATTAATTGCAGGAAATCGAAATCAATTTAAAAAGACAGCAAAATGTATATACCACAAGGTAGGGATATATCTGAGATGAAAAACTTGCAGTTTAGTGGTCTTTGTTTACTCTAAAAAATCTGATGTGTACACCACATGACTTCCTTGTACGGAATATTAAATTATACACATTTTTTCTTGCATTTCATTTAAACTTATTGGATTGAATTAAATCTACTTCGCCGACAGCGCATAAACCACAATAGAATAAATGCATTCTTTAAAATTCACTCTAGTATTTGTTTACCATAGCGACACTCTGGCGCTAGATTCACTTAACAGTATTATATTTCGTTCATATTATAACTCATAATGCACAAAATTTATATCATTTAAAGAATATAATTATCTAATCGTTGCCACATGTTCTATTCAAATACTATAATAAAGCTAGAACGATGTATAAAAGAAATTAAGCAAACAAAACAAAAAAGAAACAGTTTTTCACAGATGATTGAGTATTTCTCATTCAATTAATTCAGTTCTCACTTCGCGAGAAGGCAAAAATACATAAAAACTCAAAATATCTATATTAAAAATTACGAAGTAAATCTTAAACATTTATTTCCTCGAAAAAATTCCAGAAAGGATTAAGCATGATTTAATTGGCAATAATAAATGAAGGCGTTATCTTTGTTGTTGCGAAGCTGCGTTTCTCTAGACTGGCAACAAATCCACTAGTCTGCTGTTTCAAATGTAAACAAGCAATGGCCGCCATCAAAAAAATTAGTAGGCTTAGCGGCACTTAAACAACTTCAAAATTGTTGATAATTCTAAAAATATTGCATACAGATTTACTAAAGGCCTAAAAACCTTAACCGGAAGATAAAAAACAACATAATTCAATTCATTTTTTAAAGCAAAAAATGTACAATTTACAAACATGTAAGAGTAAAGAAACTGAGATCACTGAGCCGGGTAACAGAGTGGATATATATATAAATATATTTATATACGTTTGGTGCGGCCGATTGCAACCAAAATACGAGGTGCACATCTACATGTTATAGCAGTCCTATATACAAAATTTCAACGTTCTGAGGCTACTCGTTTTTGAGTTATGCGAGATACGTACGTACGTACCTACATACGTTCGTACAGACGCCACGAAAAATTCTCTTCAGAATTCATTTTAAAGCAGTTTTATAATTTTTTTGGAGGAAAAGAGTCTTTTATTCTGTCCTTACGTACAGATATCACGCAAAAACATCGTTAAATTGCATTCGATAGCGGTCAAAATGGATATTTTTGTTGAAATATGCTGCCTGAAACTTTTCGCGATTACAATACTTTCTTTTTACTTCGTACAAGGAAGTAAAAAGGAAGTGCTAATGTGCAAATCCAAAATGCTAAATATCTTTATAATAAAATGAGTTTGCTTCTTCAGTCGAATATGATTATATATGTGAAAGAAAAAAATTCTGCAAGTGGAAATTGTGTTTTTTTATGTAAGGAAATGACGGCAGATTAGTACCACTTATCAATTATTGGAATTCTGTAGCAATTAAAAAAATGTGGTGCTATCATATTCGAACACAATTATCAAAAACAGCACAAACTGGGTAGATGTTGGTGACTAATTTTTTGCCAACCTAACACATGAAAAGCACAAGCCATTTAAAAAAAAATGGTGCATCACTGAAAATTACGTAACACAGCAATGAGTGAATGAAATTAAAAATGCAAGAAACATACATAATGAAAGCAAAAATTACATAAAGCAAATATCCATAACAAACCACTGAAAATTTCACAAAACAGTAAAAATTAATTAAAAATGAAGGAAACACCCATAATAAAACACTTAACTTTCTATTTTCTCAGTCTTCTGTTTGTGTGCACAGCCATGTGTTGTAACTGAAAATTAATCAGATAATTTCAGAATTCTCGGCATTGCAAAGCAAACGGGCACTGTTCTCCATCTACACATTGATCTGATTTAACTAAAAGGATATATACTATCAGAGATTTACACTTATTCCAAGAAAACTGTAATCATAGTCACTTACGAACAATTCATAAACTACTTTTGAGTTGCCAGATTTCTTTAATGATGTAGCATCATAGAGAAGTAAAAGCTAGCTAAATGCATCATTTTATTACTTTAACAATAATAATGAAATTCAGTCCGAACAGGATTTATATTTAGCAGCCAGTGGATACTGTTCAGCTATCTGTTTAAAATATCTCTTCAAAACAGTCTTTTTGCTTTCCTGCTCGACATTTTCTCCAAATGAATTCCCCAAAATAACTCAGACAGTTCAATCATTTGTAGTATACAACTTCATGGGATAGACAAAATGCAATATTTCTGAAAAAATGCAACACTTATCTTTTTCATTAGCAGCAAACTCTAGTTGCATTATGATTTGCTACAAGACCAAGAAAAAACACACAGTAATCATGAGCAAAAACTACAAACATAACCTTCGAATTGCAAAATCGTGTGCATTTCGTGGGTTGCCAGATAAAGTATATTTTTGTAAAATTTTTATATATTTGGCATGTTTTATTAGTTTATAATGTATATTTGGTTAATTTTTTTTACAATAAATGTTGTTATAGAATTTTAAGTACAAACTTACAGCTGTTTTATTTCTAAAATAATTTTTCATATATAGTTAAAAAAAAGGTCCTTATTTTTAATTTGAATGCATATTCAAAATGCATTTCTTTTGCAAGATACTTTTGAAAAAGTTATATTTGTGGTTGTATGTCATCTTTACATTTAACCTAATGTTTATGTATTTTTAGTTATCTTCTGCTGAGACAGAAGCTAGAACAGCAACTGAATATCAGAATTTAGTTAATACAAGTAAAGAACAATTTCGTAAAGAACTGCAGATCGTGTTGCCAAATTACATTCACGGTGACAAAAGTGAGTTTTACTCTAATGTATTAATAATGTATTGCTTACTACTAATCATAATTTATATGTACTTTTAATGAATATTTGATGAATTTTTAAAGATTGAGTCTTACAGATCTTGAGCATTCTGCAGACTTTAATTTTTAATAACTCTTTAAGAAATTAATTTTCAGGAGGACATTAATTTTTTTAACTTTTGTAAGCTTTACTGCTGAGCATCCAAAATGCAGGATCATGAAAGAATCATCCAGTAAACTTGAAATTTTCTCATAAACCTCAATAGGATATGCAAATGATTAGCGCTGCAGTTGACATGCAAAGTAACTGTACTAGTAATGCCACCTAGAAGTGCTGTAAAAAGGTAGAGCAGTAGTTCATTTTAAGAAATTAAAATTTAAGTTTTTCTGATGTTCTTTTGTGTAGGAAGCTTCTGGGCTGACTGAAAAAAATGCCAATAATTCTAATCAAGTTTCTGATTTTGACAGAGGAAGTATTGTAGCTTATTGAAGCTTTTGATTATCCTTCTGATAAATCAGTGTTTGTGTTAATGAAAGCCTCTTTAATGTGTATATTGAATTGGTGGGTGCTGGAGGAATGGATTCACCAATGGGAACCTCATCACTCATCAAACAAGAGCACAGGTGATATTTTGCACAGCAATATGTGAGAATTAGGATCTGTTATGCAATATATATCTGTACATATCATTTGACATTATCCGCAAAGCAAGGAAATGTTTCCAAGGCTTCCATTGCTGCAGTTACTGTTGACTTAGCACTACAGACAAATGAGGCTGCAATAAAACATTGCATTCCTGACATGGCTAAAGAATGGCATGACATAGTCTTTTCAAGTGAATCTTGATCCATCATGATGGTTCGAGTTTGATGGCACTGTGGTTGTAGTCATCATGACCTTTGCAGGAGCCATACTGGGAGTTCTACCTGGGTTCAAGGTGGCTGCATGGTTGGTTTTCCCATGTGTAATGTGAATATAAGCCAGTTTCCCTAATAAAGCCATTCATGATGACATCTCTACTAAGCAGATAGTCCTTGTGTGCTTTTCCATATTCAATTAAACCTATCTAACCTTTGCATTAGGCAGTGCATACCAGTTCATCAATGGAGTTATAGATTAAGGTGTTATTGGAATTTTTCCCACACTTGCAATATGTGTTCCCAGAACACTCAACTGCCACTGCTATATCTGTAAAGTTTTGGAGCCTGTTACTGTCAGGGTTTACTTGCTTGCAACTTCAAGAAGAGATTGTATGACTGCACTGTTGAACAGTTTTTCATTTATTACTAGATCATTCTGGTGCCTTAACTTTTGCATTCTCCTGATACGTTGCTGCTTGAACACATTTGTATGATGATTGGCAAACAAGTGGTTTAGCATAGGCCTCTGTGTATGCCAGATGATGTTTGACAGTTTGTAGGATAGCATAGACTAACTAACCAAAAGCATGTATCCTCAGCAATTTTTTTCTAGTGTCAAGATAGTGTTGCAGTTATTGCAAATTGAACTGGACTGGATGGAAGGGCTGATGTTCTTAAACATGTGTTCTTAAACAAAAATACAAGGGAAATACCAGCTGTATTAAAAAAAAAATTAGTTAAATTCTTCTGTGGAAACAAAGGACCAAAAAGTAATTAATGCAGAATGCTTGTTCTCTGCCTTTTTACTGAAAGACAACTTGCAACTGAATATATCAGTTCATGCTACAGCATTATTTAGAAAAATGTTTCCCGATTGTGAAATCACTAAGAAATACTCAAGTGCAACGATAAAAACAGCTACAGTTGTTAAAGAAATGGGTATGAAAAATAAATTTCAGTTAGAAGCAGCTCCATTCTTCCTGTCTCTACTTCAGAAGGAGATCTAGCAGGCTTTAATATAACACAGCTAACTAAATAAAAAAATACAATTCCTCTTAATAATTGTTTAGCATTGGGTGTCAACAGTGCACCATTAATGGTAGGCTTAGAGAATGGTGTTCCAGGCATCATAAAAAAAAAAAAAAAAAAAAAAAAAAATCAGATTTACAAATTATGAGGTGCACCTGTTACATCTTAAATTCAGCAGTTGGGAAAGGGCCAGCTTTGCCAGTCAATATAGATGAACACATTGTTGATATTTAATATTATCTTCAAAAGAGTTCTAAAAGGAAGGGGAAATTGAAACAATTCCAATAGCTGCATAATACTGAAATAAGAAAATGCTTGAAATATGTATGTACATACATGCTGGTTTTCGTTAGAGAAATATTTACCTAGAATCCTTGACCAGTGGAACTACATGCATATAAGAATTAATAACTAAACTTTCAGACATTAATTAGTTACTATTTAAAGTTAATTCATTGTGGAAAAATATACTTTATGTATTTCTGTCATTGAAACATTTCTCCTAATTTCTTAAAAAAATCTGATTTTTGACTGTCATAGGTTTGCAAGTATGAACTTTGATATATCTTGTTCATGGTACTGCATTTTGGATTGTCAGCAGTATATTTTATTTTCCTCATAAAACTGATAGCTTTATTAAACTAAATTTTCTCATAAAACTGATAGCTTTATTAAACTAAATCTTTTGGAATAAAATTCTTAGCTTGATAACTAAAGGCTGTGTACTTTGACATGCCATATAATGGCATTTTTATCCCTTGAAAGGAAGTTTTAACATTGAATTGTTATCCGCGAACAGATGTGGCCAGTGCTGCCAGATCAATGCCATGCAACAAATTTTTCCTTTTGCTTCCTTAATTATATGCAGAATTTCTTTTAGAAAATTATACATTTAATTGGATATTGACTTTTAATTTCTGTATTAAAATATGTTTATTAATTCCTTAAATTGTTATTCAAGAATAAAATATGTACAGAAATATTTTAGATTTCTCATTTCTGTTTTTATTTTTATATTTTTAAGGGACGTACAGGGTGTCCAGAATTAAAGAACCCATTTCAAAGCTGCATACAAATGAAACCAGTCATCAGAAAATTGTTAAATTTTAGGGCAGACTTAATGGGAATGTCTTTTAGCGAAAAAAATAGTTGCAAATAGCATCACCAGATGGTGTTTTATTTTAACAATCTCTTGTAAAAGTGTTGATGCCTTGCAGCAGCTGTTATAAATCCTAGAAACATTTGCTGAGGTTTTGTTTTAAATGACCTTTTTTTTTTTTTTTTTTTTTTTTTTTTTTTAGTTTTTCAATTTCAATTACTTTATTGCTGCTCACAATCATGATAAGTTTACAAGATCACACTTTGTCAGCAAAATTGTTTTACTGAAACAGTAATTCTGCAGTAGCTGCTTTACAGAAGTTTCGGACTTTGAAGAGCATTCGAAAAGGTCCGATGAATATTAAAACCTTCAAAAAATGGTAATGAAAATTTGAAGATACAGGATCATTTTCTGTTCGTCCTGAAAGAGGAAGAAGCCTGTTTTTGCAGAAGCAGTACAAGAAGTTGCACTTCAGGTGGTAGAGGACACAGCTTTGAACTTTCAGGTTAGCGCCAGTATCCACTAAGTATTAGAAGTGTTGGATAGGCCACATTCAATTGTTCATAAAATCTTGCAGAATATCTTCGGATATTTATTATTCATGCAAACTTTTACTGGTGCAGCAGTGGCTTTCACATGACTTTGACATGACATGCTTTTAGCATTCAACTCCAGTTCTCACTTCAGTTCCTTGTGTGCTTTGAATTCAATTCAGAATGGCCTTGGAATATCCTTTTGATAGATGAAGTGCATGTTCATTTTAATGGTGCAATGGATACTCACAACTGCCGAATTTGGGAACCAGGAAATTTGTGCCATATCTTAGATGTTCCATTTCATTCACCGAAAGTGATGGTATGATGGGATTTTCTGCATCATTTATTCTTGGCCATACTACTTTGAGGAGTTCTACATTTCTAGTGATATGCATCTGTGTTAGAAAACAAAATTATTCTGGCTGTGCAAGCACATCAATGCTTTGCACACACAATCTTTATACAAGATGAAACTCCTCCACACATTGCATGGCGTATTATGAATGTTCTTGAACATCATTTTACAGAAGAACATGTCAGCCAGTGCTTTCATAATGTATGGCTTTCTTTACCCCTCGAGAGAGAGAGAGAGAGGACCACAATTCATGCAATTTTTAGCTTTTTGTGCATTTGAAACATCTAGTAAGGTCATGACAGTTCAAGAATTTTACCTGATCATAAAGCAGCATTTCATGCCACATGCTCAAAATTTTTACCAGCACACACTTCAGTCAGCTGTGAAACATGGCATCTTGCAATTTTTGATGGTAGCTGAAAATGATGGCCATCATGTGGAACACGTTTTGTTATAATAAAATTTATAAAATTCTAAAAGTAAAGTTATGGGTAAAGGTGTGATTTATTAATACAATGCCCTCTGGTGGCGATATTTGTAAAGACTTTCCCATCCCTTCATTAAGTCCGCCACAAAATTTCACAGTTTTCTGATAACCGGTTTCTCCTGTAGGGAGCTTTAAAATAGGGTTACTTAATTCTGGACATCCTGCTCTTTATAACTACATTATTTTTTGTCTTTTTTTTTTTTTTTTTGGCGGGGAAGGAACTTATGAGTGGTTTTGAATCTGCCATCATTTGTAGAACTTGTTAATTTATGTGAGCCACAGTGAGCAGAAAGAAGTATTTGTACACTTGATTATTTTTTGCACGCATAATGTAAATGAAGAGAAATTATAAGCAAAGATATATTTTTTTGTAGTAAATAATAAGAATACAATTAAAATAATATTTTGACATGAAAAGAAGGTATCTGCATACTATTTGATATAATGTAAGCTTTTGAATTAAAAAAATATTACTTAATAGGCATGACTTTTACTTCCACAAACTTGTAATCTTCTGCAGTTTTGCCCCCTTATGTTTACAGCCTTTTTCCCTAAGATATCGTGTAAACCTGTCATGTGTGTGTAGGGCAGGTAAATATATTTTTTGTACTTGTAAAAGCAGCTGGGAATTATTACATGGGCTGTATGCTTAGGATTTTGTCTTGCTGAGGATAAAATGAATCTGTTGTTGCTAATTTTGATGATTTGTCAATTAAATTTGCAATGTGTTGGTATCACGTCTAACATTCATATTAATTTCAATAAAAGCCATAGCTCCTTTAAAATAATCTCAATCAAGGCTGCTTTAAAAGTTATGTGACTTAAGTCAGATTTATGAGGTAAATGGTCACAATGGTGAAAGGTCCCATATTCCAAGGGGGCCCTAATTCAGTTAAGACTTCCATTTGTTATGAATTTGTATTGTTTAACTGTTTCATAGCAGATCATTGTTAACTGTGCAAGTACTTTTTTTCTTCCTTGAATATGCCAGATTTTAATTTAGTGTGTGCCAAGTTAAATTAGTTAAATGGGGGTTGATTTTAAAAATTAAACAATAGTTAAACATATTTTATCCGTTTGCTTTCTATGCCTATTTTGAAAAAGAATAAATGTATGCACATATTTGCTTTCAAGGCTTTGTACTTAATCTTTTGAACTCTTTTTAGTGTTTGTTCCTCAGAAAACAGCCCTTAGTCATTTTGATTGTAATTGTGTTAAACACGTTAACTCTTTTAGATTTTTTGCTATTTTGTTTCAGAAATTTTAAAATGTGTATTTCATGGAAATGAAGGATTACTTACCTGACAAATTTTCAGTCTGCTAAGAACTGCAGGTTTTAAAATTACTGACACTGCATTATTAATGTTTATTTTAATAGAAACAACATATTATACAATATTATAAATGAAATAAATTAGTGTGAATTTTTGAGTAATTGTTTAATGAAAAAATTTAATTTTTATTCTTTCCAAATGAAAATAACTAGGTAAAACAATGACAGAAAGTGATCTGAATCTTTTGATTGCTCACGCACACAGAAGAATTGAGCAACTTCAGAAGCAGTTAGCCAAGCAGCAGGTTTATGATATTTTCTGAGACTTGCCAAATTCATTAGTTTTTTAAACTTATTTTATTTGCAACATTGTACATATATTACTGCATTTTAACTTTCAGGTTACTGAAAAGTTCAGAGTTGATGAAGCTGTGCGTCAGCAAAAAAAGCAGGATGAAAAAGTGACAGAATCCAAAATTGAGGCAGAATTGGAAAGGCGACATTTAGATTTGGAAACTGCTGTTGCAAATCGTGTAAGTATTTGATGCAAAATATTTTGATCATTATTAATGATGTCTTACTGATAATTTTATATTCAGAAAATATATTTAAATTTAATGGAATTTATAAAAAACAGTTGTTGACAAGCACTTGTTGAAATGTATGCACACAGTATTTAAAAAATACTGTAATAAACTTAAATCAAGAATTTCTTTTAAAGAAATTTGTTTACTATCATCTGATGGATTTTAATGGAAATTAAAACATAATGGTTATAATATTGAATACTTTGAAAGAACTTTTTTGAGGAGTCAATTGTTTTTGCTTCATACATTTACTGTCCTGACAAAACAGAAATTATTTCCATTTTAGGAAAATATTTGTTGTAGACTTAAAAATATGTCTATTATCTTGTGAGCTGTGCCTTAAAGAATTAAGTAATTTTTTATTAACTAAAAGCGCATGTCTGCATATGCTGTTAATTTAGTGGTGAAATAATATATAAATTTTTTATACCACTTGGCATTGTTACTTTCAATAGCTTGTCTTAAATATATGGTTTTATGTTTTGAATTTCTGAGAAATTAATTTTTAAATTAGTGAGCTGATGATAGCTGTTTAGCTTAAAGATGTTTTAGGCATTAAACTAGAACCTTTATATAAAGATTAGATTGCAGTATTTTATTGTTATTTTTAATTTAAAAGTATTTCTTTTATTTTTTGAACTTTAATGGTATACTCTTAAAGCTGTTAGATCAGCATCTGAAGTTTTCAAATTGAAAATTTATTTCATTGCATTTTAATTTTGCACACTTTTTCTTTTCTTTGTTTATTAGGTTGCTGCTTTAAAGGACAATTTTGAAGTTGAATTAAGACAACAGTTGCGTAGGCAAGCAGCTGCCCATGCAGATCACATTCAAGAGGTATTAAAGGTTCAAGAGCAAGAACTAGAAAGGAAGCATTGTTTGGAATTAGAAGAAAAATTGCTTCACCAGAAAGGTGTTTTTATATCAGAAGTTTCTGGAAATATGGCTCGCTTAAAAGGAATTTTAACATATTTAAAAGGTAAATCTGGAAAAACTTCAGTTTTTATTTTGATAGTTTGCTTAATATGCTCAATTTTGCCAATAAGGAAGGTCTTTGAAACTAGAACATGCAATTTTTCTGGGGGGGAGGGGAATGCAAATGATTATGCCCATCTAAAAAAATCTAATGATTAAAAGAAATAGTTGCAGTATCAGTATTAATAGGTATTTAAAAAATAGTAATTACAATATTTGACAATACAATATTTTTTGCAGCATTCCAGAATTTCAAAATGATGTTTCATCAGCTCTCTCATTTTTACTTCTGCTTGCATGCTATTATGGTGTAAGCAGCTAACATTGCCCAGCAGGTGGTTAGAAAATCTGTTGTCCAAATCCTGAAAACAGCTATAATTCCAATCCTGACCATTTTTTCATGTTTCTTAATCAAAAAAAATTAAAAAAAAAAAAAAATTGCTCCACAGTGGCTCCAAAGTTAAAATGTGTGGCAGTAATAATTAATTACCACTTTCAGTTAGTCATCTGGTTTTGACTCTTTCTAGTCACACTTTAAGTGGAAGAACATGTAAAAAAAATGTTTGCCTTCTCCAATGCATGCTGTAGTAATATGTAACTAATGATCTTATCAAGCTGGCAGGTGGAAGATCTGTGGTTTTGAATCTCAGCAAGGACACAGCTGATTTTTCACGTTTCTTGATTCATAAAAAATTAGGCTGTTCTAGGGTTCTGCTATGCTTAGAAGTATTACTTAGTGTTCTTCAGACTACTAGATTGATAGGCGAGTTATCAATGTAGTTTCAATTAATATGACCATGGTTAAAATAACTTTTTATAGAACTCTTCAAAGTAACAGGAGGTACCATTTTTGCTCTGGAATGTAACTCCATTGCTTGAAAGTATTAAAAATAACATACGATGAAGTTAAATTCCAATAAGGAAACTTATTTCCAGTTTAGCATTAAGTAAACTGCACATGCAATATTCTGCTTAAGCTGGCACAAGTAATTAATGGTATCGTTTTTTTAAATGTTGGCTAGCAAGATGGCTTAAGCCAGGCTGTTGCTGAGCTGTTGCTAGTATTTAACTACAATATGAGGCTGCAAGAAGCTCGAAACCTAAAACATTCTAACCATCAGCTTAAATACTCTACTAATTTGCATTCATATGAGAACTACAGAAAGAAGATGTTAGTTTAACCCTCTGACTGCTCAATTTGTGGACTGAAATCGCTTCAAATGTTGTGTAATTTTTTTTTGCAAAATTTAAATCTACATATATTGGAGAATTGAAAAATGCATTTTTCTTCCTAGAAAATATTTTTTATATAGATTTTTATCATGAGAAACTAAGTTGCCAGAAATACCAATTTTAAATGTTATCACCAAAAAAATTTTTAAAAATAAATTTCAGTTGAATGACAGTTAATTTCTATTTATTGCATAATATAAGAGGTAGAATTATAAAATTTAAGAAAATATAAAGCACTGAGGGAAAAATACATTAAAAATGCAGTTTAGTATGATAGAGTTCAAAACGGTGTTCAAGGCAAAGTCCAACTTTACAGTTTTTGCACGACATTCAATAAATCTAATTAATAATCAATTTAATTATTAATCTAATCAAAAATCTAATTAATAATTCAATAATTTAATTAAATAATCAAGATAATCGCTGAATGTTTTCGAGCGGCGATTTCTGTAAGAAAAAAGTGGCAAAATGTCGTGTTTGAGCGGTAATACCACGTGCCCTTCAAACACCCCAATTTAGCGGACAACTAACGATATTTGTTGTCCAAAACGGAAACTAAACATCTAATACTGTATATAATTTATTTCAGTGGTCAAATGGGAAAAAAACGGGATGCACTCATCAATAAAGGAAGAAAAACACATGCCTGCGGAAATCGCGGGATGAGCAGATTTTGCTACATTTGAGTTGCCCGGGGAAATCGCGTGATAAGCAGCCAGAGGGTTAAAGGTTCAAATCATAATAACTGATTAATTAATATTAAATCCTTCATTTTTCCCTACCAGAACTTAAAACAGATAAAAAACAAAGGTCTCAGTGACCTTGGATAACTTTTTATTCGATGATCTAAAAGCATAAGTCAGCAATTACAAAAACTTTTTAAATTCTCAATTTTATATTTGCATTCGACAAAAATTTGTTTTTCAGATCCATCACTGACTTTTTCTCATGTATCTCCTTCCAAGACACTGGAAGGAAAAATCATTTAGTATAGAAATATTTAGGCTACACAGTATGCAGGTATAGAAATAATCTTTCACAATTCAGGTTTTCTTTCTTGAACTCATTTTCACCCCTCCACACTCCAGTTTTGTACTGAGTGAAACTGATTGAAAATTGAAGTATTCTGACAACTAACTACCTGCTAACTGAATTCCTTCATAGTCAGATGCATTCAACACTTTGTAAATTTTATTTTCTTCATTATTTCTTGAGTTACTGGTAGAGTAAGCCAAATATTAATTAAGCTGTTTAGTTTTCTGTAATTGATAGCGCATTGCCCAGCCCTAAAATTGGTGAGTGGAAGATTATTCTGTTTCCTGCATCGTACTACAGGGTGACTACTTGTGAGAATTATTATTTTATTTTTCTGCATATCTGATTGTGCCTTTCTGTGAATTCTTCTTTGACTTTATTGTGGTGATAGGATTTTGCTCTATTTGGAGATTATTTCCTATTTTGGTTGGGTGACTCACCACATGTGTTAACCCTGGGCTGTCATCAAATAAATCTGAAAAATTTCTTAGCATCTGTTCCAACTTTTTTTTCTTCTAGAGCTGTTCTTTCAAGTCCAATGTTGGAGGCTGTACCACTTTCTCCTTCAGTGCATTCATATCTGCCTCTACCTAGTCTTCCTGAAAATTAGTTTATATGCAAGAATTTTGGGAGGCCCAGGCTATTTGCATTGTCTCCAGCCATAGTTTGAGAGAGTCATGTGCTAGATATAGGGTTCTGCTGTGTCTAGAAATTAGTATTTTTCAGTAGACTGACAACGAGTTATTGCTCTTGAATGAATTAAGATGGTAAAGTCTTTAGAAGATTAGCATAATGTATTTATTGAACTGTTTGTGCTAGTGATTAAACTCCACCACTTGAAGATATTTAAAATAACATAAGACTGAAAGCTTGAATTGAAGTAATATAGTCCGAGACTACATGTAAAATAATGTACCTAAGCTGGCTGAAATAATTAACTTCATACTTTTAAAGTTAGCTAGAAAGATGACTGAAGCAAGAATAAACATTGGCACAGCTGCCGATAATACATAACTGCAAGCAAGGTTATCAAAAGTTCTAAAACAGTCAAACCTCTAGCTTAACTATTTAACAACTAATTTGCATTCTGGGAAGGACTACTTTAAATTTCAAATTGTAATAATTGGTTAATTAGTATGTAGTCATGCACAGTTTTTACAAAATATTGCCAGATGGATGTTTCAGAAGTACATGAGATTTTGTCAGGATCAAGGGATGTAGTTCTTAGAATATTTGAGAAACACAGCTGTGGGTAACTGTTTTGAAATTCAAATGACTTAAAAATCTGTTATTGCCAAAATATGAAATTAACAATTGATGCTAATTAAAGTTGTAGGTGTAAGTAAATGTCGACTATTTCAGGACTTTTATTATTATACTATTATGCTTTAAAAAGTTTTAAATTTTGACTTTTATGCTAGTGGATCAACGTCTTGCTGTGTGCTTTTAATAAAACAGCCAAAAATTGACATATAGTCCAAAAAAGGCAATTTTATGAGCCTATTTTCTACATTGTTGTGCTTTTTTTTTTATACCCCCAATGGCAGATTGTGCACAGTTACGGTTTTGTAACAGAGTCCATTAATCCATACTAAGGCCAGATGTGATGATCTCTTTATTATGGAGGCACTTAATAGGTGGGCCACCATTGCCTCCTAAGAAGGGATGGACAGTTACAACCATGCCTTTTCTGGGATTCGAACCCAGGCCCTTCGGTATCGCAATCAGGTTATACTGTCTGGGCAGCACACATTGTTGAGCTATAGTATCTGATTCTTACAATTGCATAATTAAGTATATATTCTTCAGATGTGGATTAGGCATACACTATAAAAGTTGTTCATTATTTGACTGTAATTTATTTACTTTTCACATAAAAGTTTTTATCTGTATGTGAAAATTTAAGTACTTATATTTTAACTAATTTTCTGTTTCTAAATTATAACTAATTTTTAACACCATTTATTATATAAATTGTTATTTACATATTTTTATGTGTACATTTTGTGTATGTTAATAATTTTTATCCACATTTTAATTATGAACTACTGCTATATTTTTAGCTAAAGGTGAATTTGACAAGTTATCAAAAAGTGCACAATCTTTATGGCTTGCATGCCAAGCAATGAGCGACAAAATTGAAGCTGATAAGTCTGGTGAATTATATCCTTTGAGTAAAGAAATTGCTGCAGTAAAGGTTTCAGCAAGTGAGGATAATGAATTCATCAATTGTGTTCTTGCTAGTATACCTTCCAAAGCTGTAACTAGAGGAGTTTATACTAGTGAAGATCTTAAACAACGATTTTTTGAAAATGTAAAGCCAGTTTGCCGCAAAGTAGCACTGATTGATGAAAATAATGACAGCTTGTACAGATATTTGTTATCTTATTTGCAATCTTTCCTAACCATAGATGTTATATCTATCCCAAAAGAAGAATTAAGTGGAAAAGTTGCTGTGGATCCTTCTGAGTGGGATACTTTTGATATATTGTCTAGAATATCATACTGCCTGAAAATAAATGACATGGAACAAGCTTTACGATATGCTAATCAGCTAAGAGGTGAACCAAGGGTTGTTGCAACAGACTTTATAAATGAAGTTAGGTTACTGTTGGAAACACGCTTAGCTGTGAAAGCTTTACTAGCTCATGCAGCAGCAGTTAGTGTACAAGCCTACCACTAGGAGCATTGAAAATAGGAAAATATTAGAAAAGTTATAATTTTTTCTGTAGTGATCTTATTCTATTTTAATTATTCATATGAAAATCATTTACAATTATCGATTACAATATTTTGTTCATGTAAAATGAAATTATTTTTATAACCAAGTACAGGTTTATGTTCTTATAATTAAGCTTTTTTATACTGTGTAATTTTTAAATTATTCCTCACTAAGCACAGTAATCTGTTGTTGCAGTAAAGGCTGTTTTTATTCATACAAACTGGAGTGTGTACTAAGAGGACATAATTTAGCAATTTGAAAATCAAAACCTTCAGCACTAACTTGTGAAGTGGTGTAATGTGCATGTGTGATATTAATTAATTAATCAGTTAATAAAATCAAATGTTAGTAAAATAAAATAAAATCGTGTATGTTTAATTTTTCACTTGAAATAGCAGAAAATATAGATTTAAAGTACTGTTAGAAGTTGCCTTGTTTAAATACCTTTTTATTCTTCACTTTATAAGCTATTTCTCCCACCTTCTTGGTGTGCCTTCATGGTGTAGTGGTTTTGCATGCTGGGCCAGTATTTCAGAGGTCCGTGGTTCAATTCCTGGCGAAGGTGGTTGCTAATTTTTCATCTCTTCTGCTTTTCCAATAAACCTAATGCCTCTACAGTAGCACCCAAACTTAAAGGGTATTGGATGAGGATTCTCCACACCCCGGATTTGGCCGGTATTTCAGAGGCCCGTGGTTTGATTCCCGGCGAAGGCGATTGCTAATTTTTCATCTCTTCGGCTTTTCCAATAAACCTAATGTCTTTACAACTTCACCTGATGTAAGCATATGAAATGAAAGCCTGCCATCTTCTCTAAAAAGACTGGCGCTTATATGTAATAGCAAGTTGTGATTATAAATTGTTTTATTTTGTGGTCTTGTAGAATTTTTTTTTTAAGCATTTATACCTTTGGAAAAAAAGCTAAAAAATTTTAATTTTTTTTACATCAGGAACAAAAAGAAGAAAGGAAACAATTATTTCCTAAAAATAAAGCAAAAGCTAAAATGCATATCATACAGATATTCCTGTTGATGCATAATTTTAATTCTTAGGTTACAATTGGGAAGAAGGTGAAAAAATAATATAAGCAGAAGTGCTTGTATGTGTAACTGATGATCCTTTCTACTGGTATGATAAATGCATGCAAATTTGGTGGTATAATTTTCTGTTTCTAGAAAAATTCTGGCATAGGACTAAAAGATTGCATTCATGTTTATGAAGTTTATGTTGATTATTTTACTGTCCATTAAGAGTTCACTTTTTGTCCCACCATAATGCGGTTTAGCTACTCCGATTCATATTCTTACTACCTGCATTTGCTGACCTTAAGTAGCCTATGACGGTGAAAATTGTACCTGTGTGTGTGAGTTGCTTAAGAAAACTTTCAACTTAAAAAGAAGTGACTCCAAGTAAACTTAAAAAGAAGTGACTCCAGGGTAATTAGTAAGGACACTTCTAAATAATGCATCAACAAAGTCTGAAAGTCCAGCTTATTAAATATAGTCTTTAATTAAATATTATTATTAAATTAATTTAATATTATTATTAAATATAGTCTTTAATGAGTCTAATCAGGTAGAAGCAGAGCATGAGCTAGAGCAAGAATGCCTAGCTTTCACATCAGTAGGGACGTACATGTTGGGATTGAAGAAAAACTGAAGAGCTGTTTATATGTTTCTAAGAGCCACAATGAAATATTTATCTCATCTTAAAAGGAGTAAAACTGTTTTGAGTAGGAAAAAAATGGTTCAAGTAATTTAACAGTGTTTTTACATTTTATAATTTATGTGATGGTTTCGTATAAACGTAAATAAATAATTATTTCTCTTGTGCTATGTTAAGGATATTATGTTCATATGACAAATTTAAAGTTTTTGTATGATGTACTGAACATTCTTCTTCAAACAGAAAATGAAATATTTTCTTTTACAGATTCTGTTTTTCAACTGATTTTAATATGAATGAACTTAAAGAATAAAGTAAAAAAAGCTTTCATTCAAAGGAACATTAATGCAGTGGTTTAAGAAACAGAACTAGGGACATTTCTTTACTCTGATCTGTAAAATACGTGAAATGAAAAATAGCATTATGTAGAGAAACTGCAATTTAATACACCATAATTGTTTAACCCTTTGCAGCACAGTGTGTCCGGTCTGGACACACCTAAAAATTTCCTTCTGTACGCACAAAAAAATTTAATGAAATAGGATTTATAGGTTACTCTGAACCGTCTTTATTTATAGTAGATGGCAGCTCAACACAAACCAGTCCATATATTTTAGCCATGTTTAGTTTTTTAAGACCCTTATTTTTCAAAGAAATCTTCCAGATTTTTTTTAGTGTATAAAAGGGAATTGTTTGAAAAGAAATTTCTATGTTATTTTTTTGGCTGTATGCTAATTTTTATATTCTATATTAGTTTTAAATTTTTACCTTGAAATCTTGCCTAAAATCAAACCCTAGGTGTGCCCAGACCGGGCTCACCGATAATCTATGACAACTGAGAGTCTGTATTCTTTGTTTCTCTGCATCTCATCGGTCAGTTCACTGACAACAATGCTCGTTTCAGCACTCTTTTCAAAGCTCTATTCAATCAGGGTGCCCGCTTTGGGCACACCCACAGAATCCCTTGCGCTTCCCTCGCTTCCCTTTTGCAAAAAAATTGCAAAAAATCATCAGATTTTAAAATTTTATTATTAAATACAATGAAACGAAACAAATCAAAATATGTAGGTTTTAAGTTGAATTTTTAGTTTTTTGAAGGTGTAAAAGCATTTAGTTTTAATATTAGTTTACTATCCCGAATTATCTCGGGCAAATGAAAAAACATTAAATATTAGTCTTTGTGTGATAAGTTTTGAAATAAGGGACAACACAAAGTGATACCTGACATTCTACATTGGTATCTGGTCTATTTTTTTACTGGCTTACCTCTGGAATCTCTTTCACGGGAGCACAGAGTGCACTGTCTCGTTGGAATTGATTTTTTTTTTTTTTTTTAAATTTTTTTCTCACCTCTTCATAATCACTATCTGAAAAATCATCGCTTTCGCTATCTTGCATCATCGCCATTATTTTATTTTTTCAATGCATGTATCCTTCTTTATACATTACTAATCCACAAGCCGACGTATACTATACAATAGGGAAACACGTGATCAGTCCCTCCAAAAGAACCACACAACCAACAAATTTTGGCAAACTGCCAATCAAAGCTGAATATTTACTTTCCTTTCCTCCAAGCCAAGTAAAACTGTGCTAAGACAAATCGTACTAACAAATTCTGCTTAACCTGAGGTTTTGACGGGATAATAATTAACTGCAATATATACAAACCCGAGATAACTCGGGATAATCAGGCAAGAGGTTAAATGATAAGTGCTATCTTCACAAAATTTTACTTGTCTAGGCCTAATTAGACTGCCTACCTTTTTTTTTTTCTTTTTATCAAAACTCCAACTTTAAAAGCGTGCCGGAAAGGGTTAAAATAATCTGTCAGTAGGATTCTTGAAATTAAAAAAAAAAAAAAAAATGAAAATGTAATTTATCGTAAGCAGCTGATGTCAGGACCAGCATATATAGCAGCTAACTTAAATTACTTAGTTCATTAAATACAGACTGAATCATCAGATACATTTTGTATCTTCCATTTCAAAATGAAACACTTGTAACTGCTGTATCATTGTAAACCGTATACAGAAGTCTTAATAGAGAAGGCCTTTATGTCAGAAAGCCACAGGTATATATTTCATTATCTTCATAATAAAAGAGGTATCCCTTTATTTGATGCAAATAACATCTGAATTGGAGTGAACACTAGTAGTTCCATACTATCTGTGTTGATGAATCTAGGTTTTGTTTAACATCTGATACTTAGTATGTTTATATATGGAGGGAGTCAGGAAAATCTTCCTTTGAAGATTATGAAAATTGACCATTTCAGTAATGCAAGTGTGATGGTATGTATGGGGAGGAGTAATGGCTGGATGGACGTACACCTCTTACACATTTTACACAATGGATCAACTGTCAGGGATATTGGTATGAGGTCTTAGAACCTAATTTAAGACTTTGGAGTGGCATGTGGATCTGACATCTTATTTATGGGCAATATGCTCATCCATATCTAGTAAATCTTGATGAAATCCTTGAAAGTGGAGAGGTTGAGCAAATACCATGGCTAGTAAAATCTCATGATCTTAATTCAATAATGAACTTATGAGACTGAAAAGCATGACAATATCTTTCTCCTAGAGATGTAAATGGCCTGAAGATTACATTGCTAGAGGAATGGAACTTAATCAAAATCGTAAAAACAACCTTGTATTTAGTGTAAGTATAATGAAACACTCAATCGATTTCGAGGGCAGCTAAAGGTCCCTCCTCATCAGGAGAAGAAATACCTAGAAAGAGGAAAATAAAGGAGAAGGAGTCTCAGAAACACATGTTCCTTATCAGCACTGCACGTGGTTATAACTGGATTTTTAATTGGTTGCACTGGCTGCCTATCAGAGTTGCAATGTAACTTAATTCCCCAAACTGTGATTAGCAACATTATTGCCAGTGCGAAAATGTATGATTTGTGTGTACAAGTCTGAGGAGATCACATTTCATATTAGTTACATATTCCTTAATATTTTTCTGGGTTAATTTTTTTCTTTCCTGGATTCTCCTTGCAACATAATAGGATTTTTATTGTTTTGTACTACACTTTTGTGTTATATGCAGTGTCCTTAAATTGTTTCCTTTGTATTTGTGTGTTATGTATCATTCTACTAAAAAAATTCAGGGAATTCACAGTTTCTGATAAATCTGTGGTTTCATGCATGTACAGATAATTGTGGACTTGAGTGTATTTGTCTTTTCTACTGTTAGTACTTAAGTGTTCCAAAACTTAATATTACTAAAGTGACCAATAGTTAGTTGTGGAAATGGTGCACAGTTTAGAATTTTTCAAAATTAGCTATTAATTTAAAACTTAAATTACTGATTATTGGAAAAGCATGTCTTATGTGATTTCTGTTTGAAGTTCAGACGATATTTCAAAAATGAGTTTTTTTCATGAGGCATACCACAGTTGAAGGGCAGAAAAAGCAGTATGTGGCTCGTGTGCACAATTTGTTCATTCTGGTTCGTTCTAAAATACTACTAATTCTCAACTTTTTCTGCCTCATTTCCTTCCTCTCCTGATATACACAGTCCAGTCACATTAATGTGACCATCTGTCAAAAGCCAGAATAACCACCTTTCGCAGAGCGGACTGCTGCGAGACGTGCAGGAAGAGTCACATAGGTCCCTGAAGGTGTTCTCTGGGATGTTGAGCCATGCCGACTCTAATGCCGTGGCCAGCTGCGCTAGATTACGCGGTTGAGGATCCATGGCGCGAACAACTCGATCGAGATGGTCCCACAGATGCTCGATTGGGTTTAAGTCAGGTGAGTTTGCTGGCCAGGGGAGGACGGTAAACTCATCCTGGTGCTCTTCGAACCATGCACGTACACTGGCAGCTGTATGGCACCTCACATTGTCCTGCTGGAATATGCCATCATCCTGAGGAAAAACAATGCGCATGTAGGGGTGAACATGGTCCGCAAGGACAGATGCGTACTTGTATTGATCCATTGTGCCTTCCACAATGATCAGTGAACCTAGAGAATGCCAGGAAAACATTCCCCAGACCATAATGCTCCCGCCTCCAGCTTGGACCGTTCCGGCAATGGTTGCAGGGTGGTTCCTTTCAGAGGTTTCACGCCTTATACGCCAACGTACATCTGTCCGATGGAGCATAAACCGAAAACGCAACCTGTCGCCACTCAGTGGATGTCCAGCTGCTGTACTGGCGTGCAAATTCTAGCCTTCGCCGTCGATGAACAGCA